TAACCAGCCTCAAGGGACTATTCTTGTTTGTAGTCGTACTGGGGTTTATGTTGTCTCTGATGGTTTAGAGCTAAAAGTCTGTGATCAGAGGTGGGGCTGTTGGAAGGTGACTGTCATGGAGCACTATACTCGTCGTCCATTTGTTGGCTCTCCAACAGTGCCAATTTTGCTGTTAGGAGCTGGGGCTAATCAGAAGAGATGGGTCACTGGGGCATGACCTGGAAGGATGTATTCTTGTCACCATCTCCTCTCTGCTTCCTGGCTGCATGGGGTGAGCAGCCGTTCTGTTTCTCTCTTGGAGCCAGCTAACCATGAACTGAACCAACTGGAACCGTGAGCCAAATAAACTTCTGTTCCTTTAAGTTGTGGGTGCAGATACTCTGTCCCAGTGAGGGGACAGTGACTAAAAACTAGTCTATTTCTCCCACTGAGCACAAGTTCCCTAAAGACTAAGCCTGTACCCATGGGTCTTGTTCATGCCTGGATCAGACGTGCCTCTTCACAGTGGTGCCCATACTACATCTTGCCTTGCTAGCAGTTTGTTAGCGCGGAAGTCACCTGTGGCTTCCTCAAGGCCAGTTGCAGGTATTAATTCATAGTGAGCAACACCAACCCTTTTGACACTGGTAAGGAAGGTCCTGGAGCCTTTGATTTTAGAGAACTGTCATTTCTCCCTGCCTGGGTGGAGTCTGTGCTCTCTGGGGCAAGAGAGCACAGACCCCACCACTGAGCACTCAATTATCTATGAGTGCAGTAGCAGGCCCTTGACCCACAGTCCCGGGGAAGGACATGGGGCCTCTCCCTGGGACTACTGTTCACCTTCCTTGAAGCCAGCCAGCCTCTCTAAGGTCCCTGCAGGTCCTCCAGGGCTCAAGTCCTCACAACCCTGCTTTCCTGGGTCTGTGGGCTGGAGTCGTGGAGGCTTTGTGTGTGTGTTTTAGGGAAGTGACCAAAGAGTCTACTATAATTGGGGCGGGAGGGAGAGTGTCAAGAGAAAATTCAAGAAGCTGTGGCAGGGCTGGGGATTTAGCTCAGTGGCACAGCGCCTGCCTGGCAAGCAGGAGGTCTAAAGTTCCATTCCCAGTACCGGAAACAAACAAACAAACAAACAAACAAAAGAAGCTATGGGAAAGTCCCCAGGCCTCATTCCCTTTAAGAGAAGAATTGCAAGTGAGAAAGGTGTTTAACAAGGACACGCAGCACACAGCTGGTGAGCTCTTTAATCACAGGTCCCAGAGGCTGGGTCACCTAACGAGCCTTTGTTCGCTGTGCAGAGGGGCCGCCCTCTGAACCAGCCTTGGCAAACCCATGTCCTAGCCACGTTCCTGGCTTCCTGCCTAGGTCACTGCTGCCCACCCGCAGTTTCCGGGCAGGGGACAGCAGGATGTCTGGACCTTCAAGAGCCACAGGTACCAGGCAGGTGCGCCCTTCCTGTGGGCGGTAACTCGGTGTGCGCCGGGGGTATGCTGGCCAGGCCCAGGCAGTGGACGCATCCAGAGGCATGTTGCTCTGGAACTGCCCTTGTTGTGAACGTTCCTTTGCGGTCAGGGTGGGATCCACCAGCTTTGCCTTGTTTGCCTTTGCCCAGCTGTGCCATGTCTTCTGGGTCACTTCTTCACTCCTGTGTTTGGATCAGAAGTTTGAAGCCACAGCAAGGTTGGCTTTCACATCTCCGCACCCCCTACTGCCCTCCGCTCCTTCTTTCCTCGTGTGACTGCTCAGACACAAACTGCTCCTGCCCAGCAAGTCGATGGGTGACTTTGTGCATGTTAGTCATTTGCATCGTAGTATAAATAAGCATACGTGAGTCAGTGAGTGTCTTTGTGTCTTAATCTGGGACTAACGTGCTGCGCCTATCATTGAAGGCGTGCAGGACAGCTGGACGGGTTTAGGGAGGTCAGGGAGGGACCTTCACTCTGAAATACCTAGGCCATGACTAGGGACTCAGACAATGGCCCTGTGTCATAAATAAGAACCTTTTAAAAATATGTTTTGTCCCTTTTCTTCTTTTTCAGGAGACTGGTTATTTTCAGGGATTTTGGATTAGTTTAAAAGTCATTTTGAGTTGCCAGTAAGGAAATCCAGTATTCCCGAAAGTTTTCTGAGGGTTTCTATGTCTGAAGGAGCTGCTCAGAGACAGTGAGAAAGGTTTCTCGCCCCCGCAGCAGGACCCTGTGTCCCTGCAGGTGAAGGCACGTCCTCCCCCTGCCGAGGCGGCCGCAGCCCTGTGCCCAGCAGCGCCATGTCCCCAAGTTAGCAGGGCTCGGACCAGTGGGAGACATCAGCACAGGGCCAGTTGACGTCAGAGCTCTCTGAGCTCCGGCCAGGGGGGCTGCCAAGCGACCTGGGACCGCGACCCCACCCCGTGTCTTCCTCAGTGGGTGACAAGCCTGGAGCAGGCAGAGGAGAAGAGGGCAGAACCCTGAGGGCCCAGGGAAATGGGTTTTGCTTCCTGGAAGAGCCGTGGTAAGGAAGCCCACGGCGACACACAGGCCTGGCACCCATGCTCTCACCGCTCATCGCCACGGTGGTAACCCCAGCTCTCTGGAAAACTGTCTTGTGTAATCACACCGTGACCCGGGAACCCGACCCCAGACAGGCACGCAGCGAAGCCAGGTCAGACTGACCCGAGGGCAGCAGCACCGTCAGCGTCACCGTCACCGTCTCCGCTGCAGCAGGTCTCAGAGGGCCACATGTCCAGCCAGGGGTGACTGGGCGTGGTGGTAATTCCAGCACTCTGGGGGGCTGAGGTAGGAGGATCCCAAGTTGGGCCGCCCTAGGCAATTTAGCAAGACTGTCTCAAAAAGAGATGGAGGATACAGCTCAGCACAAAGACCCTGCCTTCAGCCCCCAACGTCGCAAAACAAACAAACCAACAAAAACTTTTCCACCTGTGTTGAGGCTTGCGAGCCACGGGGCTGTTCTGGCTTGTGCAGGAAACCCCACTGGCTGTAAGTCTGAAGTGAGGTGGGGGCTCCTGCCCGCTCCACCCGTGAGTGTGTGGCGCGCCCAGGGACTGGGCCCTGTCGGCAGCTCCAGGTGTGAGCGCCGTCCTCACCCTTGTCCTCCACATCCTCTGAGTTACTCCGCCCCAACCCTGCGGTGGGGAACCTAGCCCGGTCCCCTTTTCCCTTTCTTCAAGCGGGCCCGGCCCACAGCTGTCACAGGATACCCCACACCCTGCCCCTTCCCCAAGCAGGACTCGGTTGTCCCACCCCAGTTCCCGTCAGTTTTTAAAAATCCACCACATTGCTGCTTTGTTATTCTGAGTCACAGTTCGGTTCGGAGTTTTGACAAGCGTCTGTACAGTGTGTCGTCATAGAACCCCCTCCATGGTGGGGACACAGGCAGCACCCTGAGTTCTCCTGGGCCCTTTGTGGTCCACCGTCCCTTCTCCCGGCCTCCGCGCAGCATCTCCCTCTGCTGAATGCAGTGTAACAAGGGTCAGGATACCAGGCCTTCCTAGGCTTCTCAAAGTCAGCGCTGGAGGCCACCCAAGCCCGTGTGTCTGTCATCCACGCCGCCTGACGGCTGGGCACCTGGGAACTTCTACTGAGGGTCCACTTCCTCTCTGTCTGGCAACCAGGGTATTTTTCCATCTGTCCCCTTGGTGGACAGCTGAGCACCACCAGGCGGGATGGGGCCTGGTGTGCCTCGGTATCCCCAGCCTGCACAAAGCAGGGCTGACAAGGGGGGCGGGACTGCTGGCGTTGGCGGTGACTCCCTGAGCTCGCCGAGGCAGGAGGTTCTGACTAAGGCCAGGCCTTGCTCTCCAGAGCCCTGGCTGCGGTCTGTCTGCTTGCTGTGCTCAGCAGGTGACACTGGGGACAGGTGGGCGGGTTTCTCCTAACCCACTCCAGCCCTCCGTTCAGGGTCCCTGGACACCGTTGTCTGGGCTCTGTGTCATGACCTGGGACTGTGGAACCGGTCTGTCCCTGACAGCCTCCTCCCCTGAGGCCACAGAAGCCCTTGCTGGGCGCTGGGCTTTGTTCACATGGAGTCACAGCTGTGTTTGGTGGCTTGATGGCTAAAAATAGGTCTAGGCGCATCCTGTGACAGCCTGCCCCTCCCATGCTCACACCAGGATGCCCGTGTGAATATCCAGGGTTGCTTGTGGCTGGGACCTTTTCCCTTCTGGTCCCCTTGCCCTGGCTGTCAGAGTGGGGGTGGGGGGGCTGCCAGCAGGAGAGCAGGGGCCTGTGTTGGACGCCCTCGGGCCGGCACGTTATTTACCAGGTGCTGGGCTTTGGGGTGGCTCCAAGCAGAGGAAGTTGTTGGCTGGCTTCCCCTCCGGCTCGGAGCCTCGGGCTGGTTATACAACTCCCTGAGCATCAGGTTTTCCCATGTAAACGGGTGACGGTGAGAACGAAAGCGATCCACGTGTAAACGCAGGCGGCCTGCGCACAGCGGGCCTCATTCAGTGCGAGCTGCTCCTGCAGCCGTCGCTAGTCTGTCTGCTTGTGCCTGCAAACTTAAACTTCTCCCTGGACATCCAGCGTGAGGCGTGGCCTGTGGGAAGCTGGGGCCGCAGGTGGTAAAGAGTTTACTGATCGCCAACAGACCCAGACAAGCAATGGGCTTATCGATACACCGTAGAGAGCGGCAGGCGAGCCCAAGAGAGGACCGTACCTCTCGGGGTGAAAGGCTGAGATTTCTGGGTTTGATTTTAAGGTGAGGAGAGTTCTGGCAGCAACACCCAGGGCTGCTGTCTCCCGGTCATGGTGGCTCCAGTGTCACCCGTCCCAATTCTAAGTGCAACCAGGTGCTATTTCCTTGGGGGTGAAATTAACTAATAAACATGTGAGGGATCGGGCTCTAAAAGAACGTGTGGGGTGCACATGTCCAGCCCTTTGTCCCAGGAGCCCAGTCTCACCTTTACTGGTCATCGACCACCACCGTGACCTTAGCTCACTTTGACAGCTGCCGGAGTAGGGGACTGCCCAGCAGAAGAGAGGCTTGTAGCCAAGCCTAAAATAGAAATGCGTCCCTGGATTGGTGCACAGGCTCTGGGACAGCCAGCAGGGTGGTGGGGTGCACACCAGGCTGAGCCGGACCGTGGGCAGCAGGAGGCTGCAACCCCTCATGACAAGGTGGCAGGCCACCAGGCTGTCCTGTGCAGAAGCCCCGAGGGTATGTGCCCTGGCGCAGGTCCCAGCCCTTCCAGGAAGAGGGGTGCCTGGGGCAAGGACTGTTGGCCGCCCAGGGAGGGATGCCATCCACACCTAGCTGTCTGAGTCTGGCCGTGGTATAGGGGTGAGGGAGCCCCTGGAGGCTTCTCCGAGGACAGCCAGCAAGCCCATCCTGTGTCTGGGGAGGGAGGGGCGCAGGAAGAACAGGCCGGGCTGCTGCTCGGTCAGTCTGGCTCCTTGGAAAGCCACAAAGCAGCTTACCAGGTGTGAATATAAGTGTGCCAGAAACAGTGGGGCGGGCGCAGGAGCCAGCCAGGGGTCCAGCTTCCTGTCCAGGGAGGGCGCCAGGCTTGTGCCCGCAGAGGAGTCCCCTAACGCTCTTAGACCGCATCCCTGACTGCTCCCTCCACAGCTTCTTCTTCCCTGGGCAGGTGCCACATGGTGTATGACAGCTGCTGACCGGCCGGCTGGCCACAGAGCACCCCAGCCCGGCCTCTCCCGACCACGCAGCACAGCAGGGACCCACCATGGCCTCCAGCAGCGCCGAGGGCCAGCTGCAGAGAATCATCCGCGACCTGCAAGGTTTGCCTGCTCACGGGGAGGAACTGGAGCCCTCGGGATGCACGATATTGAAGTACCTGGGGCTCCGGTGTCGTGCGCGTGGGGGCGAGAGTGCTTCCCTGTGTGCCTTTCACAGGACAGGACAGCCAGTTTGTAAACAGCGTCACCCCATCTCTGATTTCAGTGTGGGAGGCTCACACTCCCTGCAGGGCTTAGGTGGCTTCTTTGGAGCGGGGCGTCCCCTGCCTGGAACAGGCAGCCTGATCCCCGTCGTTCTTGGTTTGCTGCCCAGCCTGGTCCAAGCTGGCGGATGCCCTGTTGCCGCTGTCCCTGTGTGGGAGAAGCCGAGGCAGATGTGTGGCTCATGTGGTGATTGGGAGAGGCAGGGACACAGACAGAGCCGCACACAGGGTTTTGTACACTCGGGGGGGGGGGGGTATAGATCACCTCCCTGCAGGCTGTGAGGTCCAACGTCACCCTCTCCCATGGTGTCCGCAGGCCAGCACTGTGGCCCATTGTCTGCCCTCCCCAAAGTCCGCCATGAGCCTCTTTGGAGCTCTGGCTGATTTGCTACAACGCGAGCCAGAGCTGACCACCTCCCCTGCACCTCCGTGTCCATGGGGACACTTCCCTGACCCACCCGTGGGGAGCCATTGTCTGTGTTTGAGGCCTCGCACCAAGGCCAGTAGGATAAAAGTCATTTCCATGAGCAAACTATCTCCTCCTGCCGTGCTTGGGTGGCCACACCCAAGGCAGGCTGCAGACCCTACCTGAAATGTGGGCCAGAACCCCTTGAGAGTTCAGATGGGTTGTTGTTTTTGTATTTTGGAATATTTGCACAGATTTACCGGTTGAGCATTCCTAATCTGAAAATCTGAGTGCTGAAATGCTCCCAAATCCGAAACTTGTTGCGTGTCTTATTTTTGGGTTCAGGGTGCTTGGCCTACGGTGACGTGGCTGCTCGTGGGTCCAAGGCACTGCTGTGTGTCTGTTGCCCAGCTTGTGACTCAGTGTCCCCAGGTTGGGCCGTGTAAGGCACGTGCCACTGTCACTCCCTTCTGCAGGTGAGGAAACAGGCATAGAGGGCTGCACGGCATGCACACAGCCAGGCGGGAGCGGAGCCCAGTCCACACACCAGCAGCGAGGCCCTCGTTCACTCTCTTAACCCCGTTGGGGAACTGCTCCCCTCAGACCGGGAAGCAATGAGAGAGACAGAGGAGGAGCTGGGGTCCGGTGTCTCCCACAAAGCCGTGCCCCAGTGACCAGAGGGCCTCCAGCTAGGCTGCGCTTCCTGAAGGTTCTGCACCTCCCAATAGCACCGGAAGTGGGGAACCAACCTTTCTCAGGAGGGCCTTTGGGACACTTATCCAGACACAGCAACCACTGGCCACATGAAGATCACCAGCCGGGGGGGTGGGTGGACAAGGAAGGCTGGGGACACTCGGGCTCACCAGCCTGGCCTCTGCCCCTGGATGTTTGCACGCCCTCTGCGCTCCCCCCTTCATGCTTCCCTCCCTGCTCTCTGCCCGTCTGATCACACATCCCTGACTTGTCTTGAAGATGCGGTGACAGAACTAAACAACGAGTTTAAGGAAGTGGGAGAGCCCATCACCGACGACAGCACCAGCCTGCACAAGTTCTCGTACAAACTCGAGTACCTCCTGCAGGTAAGCGCCTCCTGCACACGCTGCCCTGAGCCACCACCGTGTGTCTCTCTCGGGGGACTCATCAGCTCTCAGGACGTGGTTAGCAGGAGGACAGAGCTGTCCCCAGGAAGAGCTTCTCCTCCAGGATGTCCTTTGTAGGGGAGGGGCAGGGTGGTTTGGGAATTGAGAACATCCCTAAGGCAAATCCAGAGGGCCTGTGCACAGCAAGGGTCTTCACTTGGGGTGGTTACATGTCCCTGTGAGAGTTTGCTGGAAGCTGGGCATCTCGCCCCATGTAGACCTGCATGTAGATACCCAGGCAGCTTCCTGGGTGGTGGACCCTCAGAGGAGCTCCGTTGTTTGAAGCACGCCACGGCCGGCAGCATCCACATGCCTGGGTCGGGGCCCACGACCTCTGTCCCGCCCTGTCCTCCCAAGTCCTGCAGAAACTGCACTTCCTAGAGGAGCTCCCAGCCGTCTCAGCCGCAGAGGCCCCAAGCTAGAGAGCTCTGCAGATGTGGAAAACACCTCAGCCAAAGCGGGCAGGAAGGAAGTGGGTCTGAACGGTGGTATCAGGCATCGCAGTTGTTTCTTTTCTGTGTGTTTACTTTGTTTGGTCTCAGTTTGCTAACAGCACATCTATATCTTGCTTCCATAATCAGAAAAAAAAATGCTGTTAAGCACAGATCTGTCTTCTCCTTTATAGTGTCACCTCCCTCCAAAGCTCATAGGAGAGGCCCCTAGGAAAGGCCAGGTGTGGGAGGGCTCGTCTTCTTGGGCCACCACCTCGTGCTTCGTGTGACGTTAGATGTGTAGGGCCCCTCCCCCCACTGAGCCCATCTTGCTTTTGGATTTGAAATGACTCAGCTGACATTTGCTTGAGTTTGCTGTGTGGGTGGTAAAACAGTACTGCAACTTCAGCGTGGAGTACTGGGGTAAAGTACCATTAGCTCACCTCCCTCCGCAGGACAGGTTTACACTCCTCGTGTTGACTTAAGGCTCTTCACTCAATGTCTGATCATGTGCTGGGATGATTCCCATTTGGAGCGGTTTTCCGCTGTCATCCATGCATGGAAGTCCTTTCAGGGGTGTCTTGTGAGGCTTGTCAGCGGGTGAACACATAGGGAAGTGCACGAGAGAGCATTATCCAGAATGAAGCGGTATCATTTACGGAAAAGTGGGTGGAACTTGAGAGCGTCATACTGAGTGAAATAAACCAGACTTGAAAACAGAGTAGAAAGGGCGGAGGGAGGGAGGTGCGGAGGGAGGGAAGGAAGGAAGAGATGCTACGAAACCGGAAGTTGGACTCTCCGAAGTGGAGAAGGGGAAGGGAAGGGAAGGAGAAAGGGTGGAACTGAACTGATCAGGATGCGCGGTGCGCAGGTCCCAGTGCCCCCAGACAGACGTCACTGCTCCGTATCACAGACATGCACGGGTTAAAGAAAAGCCTTTGAGGCAGCTGTTCGCCTCTAAATCTCACTAGCTAGAGGTCTTTGAGCCAGTCTCTCCCAGCCTCAGTATCCTCATCTAAAAATGGGGAATTAAAACGCCTTCATTTTGTGATTAACATAGCCTGATTTGTCAATAAATAAAAATAACACCCTAAAGGGCCTTCCAGGGACTAGGAAGCTCTTGTTATCATTTATCTTTGGTTTTGTTTTGTTTTGTTTTGTTTTGTTTTTTTGAGACAGGGTCTCACTGTGTAGCTCTGGCTGGCCTTGAGCTTGTGTATGTAGTACAGGCTGGCCTTGAACTCACTGTGATCCTCCTGCCTCAGGCTCCTGAGTGCTAGGGTTACAGGTGTGCCCCATCATGCCCTGCGTGTTTATCATTTAAATAGTGGGGTGACTGGCAGGGCGTGGCCCTCTTCTCTGCCCTCTCCCCGCCAGTTCGACCTGAAGGAGAAGGCCAGCCTGCTGGGCACCAAGAAGGACTACTGGGACTACTTCTGCGCCTGCCTGGCCAAAGTGAAGGGCGCCAACGACGGCATCCGCTTCGTCAAGTCCATCTCAGAGGTAGCGAGTGGGACCCTGCAGGTTCATGGGCAGGGGAGAGCAAAGACGCCGGTCCTGCCATACTCTGTGCCTCAGATGCCGTGGCCCACATCAGGGCAGCCACCTGAGTGCCTGCAAGCGGAGGGGTGCGTGTCACCCACCAGTGCCCACTCTTACCACATCTCTGTCACGGCGCCCTTAGAGGGCACAGCACGTGATGTTTCTGCCATTTTAAAATGTCACTTTTTAAACCAGGAAGGAAGGCTGAGGCAGGAGGATTGCAAGTTCCAACCCAGCCTGGGCAATTTAAGGACTTAGTGAGACTGTCTCAGAAAAAAAACCGAAAAGGCCGGGGAAGGAAGGCAAGGCAAAAAGCCCGGGGTCCGCAAAAAAAAAAAGGGGGGAAAAAAACCCATCATTTTCTCTGTTTGCTAGGCTGCTTTCCCTGCAGTGTGTCCAGGAGGCTTGGCTTTGAGGGAAGACTAAGGCGGGAACTCGGGGGTGTTTCTGAGCATGCTCAGTGCTGATGCCACATCAGCTCTGAGCCCAGGGACGGAGCACCCTGGCTTTGCCATCTCACACGGTTCCAGAGCGATGGGGTGCACACACTTTGGGACCCCCTACTCCCGTCCTCCCTGGTGGGTCTCCCCTCTGTCTGCAGCCTGTGTGTCCAGCACGTCCTGGGGAGAAGTGGCTCCTGAGATTTGGGGCAGGAGGGCTAAAGGCAGCGTCTCTGTGTAAAGGATGAGGTCGCTTGGAGGGCAGCGCCCAGGCTCCTGCCAGGGCAGCAGTGCAGGGCATGTGGGCAGAGCTCCCTCAGCCATGCCAGCTGGAGCATGTGTTTTGTCCTAGAGGGTGACAGCGGCCAATGCTGGCATTAAAACCTGGGCACCCGCTGACCCCTAGAACGTAAGGTGCGGTCCTGCTCTAAAGAGCTCATCCGCGAGAGCCATTACTGACCATGTGCCATGGGCCTCCTGAGACTTTCAGGGTGCTGAGGAGAGTGGCGTGTAATTGTCAGATCCTGTAGAGGTGCCCCCTCGGCTGCTCTCTGCTACCCTCAGCCACTGTGTCCAGGCGTGTGACACCTTTGGCTACATGACCCGGACAGTTCCAGCCCAGAAATAGATTGCTGTCAATCCCCGCTCCCCAGCATTACAAAACATTTGCCGAAACAACCTACTTTGGGGCCAGTTTCCTCTTGTCTTTCCATAAAGCAGTCGCCCTTCAGACAGTGGGAGGCCATAGACATGGACTTTGTAGAAGCAGACGCACTCCTCCTTCGCGTGTGCGGATGGTTTTGGTGACCCGCACAGGCCTGCTCTTCCAGAGCCAGTTCCCTCCATGGAACTGGCTGGGGGCCTCACCAGGCGGGGGCCCTGCTGGGGACTTGGCTTAACTTCCCTGTCAGGGCCTATGGGATCTTCAAACAAGATGGTGGCAGTCCAAGGGGGAAGAGCCTTCGTAGCACACCCCGAGGCATCCTGGGCCCTTTGGGACAGGAGGTGGCATTGGGCTAAAGCAAGGAGAGCTCTCACCAGCTGTCCCCGGAGGTTCAGGTGGGCCCTTTGGAGACTGTGTGTGCCCACCGGGATCAGGGTATAGCTCCCCTTCATGCCCATGGCCTGGTCGCCAGGTTGGATGCCCAGGGAGTGCTCGGTACCCTGCTAATTTCCTGTCCCGCACTGCTGCTGTATCACCGCTTGGCTTAGCATGCTGGAGCGGATTAGATGCCCGCCATGTTAAGGAATGAAAGGGGACTCGGGCTCTAAAACAACAAAAACAAAATGGCCATGTGGTCATTTTCTTTTCGGTACGAAGGAGCTGTTGTTCTCCCCTTCCCCAGAGGATGGTTAAGAATATATTTTAAAATAAATAGCTCCCTGGGTCAGTGACACAGCTCAGCGGCACAGCGCCTGCCTGGCAAGTGCAAGGTCCTGAGTTTGATGCCCAGTGCAAAAAAAATAAAATAAAATAAAATAAAAAATAGCTCCCTATGTGTATAAGGAGTTCAGTTGATGAACTTGATTAAAAAACTTGGCCCCAAATGCTGGTCATTTAAAACATTTTCCTGTTCTGAAGACTGTGACATTGGTCAGAGACGCTGCAAATAAGGACAGGAACCTTCGTTGGGAGCTGACAGATGGGGCGGTTTGGTGGGGTCTTATTCAGTTCTGCAGGGCCCGTGGGCACGGGCATTCGTGTGTGTGTGTGTGTGTGTGTGTGTGCATGTGCATGCATGGATGAGTGTGCGTGGGTTTGTAAGTGTGTGCATGGATGAGTGTGAGTGTGCATGGTATGTGTGAGTGTGCATGCGTGTGACTGAGGGGGCATGTGTGAGTGTGTGCGTGGGTGCGTGACTGTGTGCAGGCGTACGTGTAAGTGTAGGTGTGGGTGTGAGTGCTGCTCACTGTTCCCCACTGCCCGAGCCCCCTGCTTAGCCCTCCCTACTGGTCAGTTCACTTGGGACACGGAGCTATCACCAAGGTCCTCTGGGGCAGCTGTTGCGCAGGGGTCGGGGGCGAGTCAGTGAGTCGCACTGCGGCCCTTCGCTCTGGAGCGTCCTGCTCAAGCTCACAGCTGGCTTGGGTGTTTTTATTTTTCAAAACTGCTTCCTACTCTGGCGCTGTGCCCTCGAATGCGCAAAGGAAGGAGCAGAGCCACACTTGGTGCGACGGCCTGCGGGTGTTCGCGGCGTGGCGATGTGCCGGTGGCCACACCACACGTTTCCTGTCTCCGTCTGGGGCCCAGCTGGCTTCTTCATAACAGGAGGTGTTGGGACCCACAGTAGTCAGACCCCTGCTCCCCACACCGCGTCCCGACCTCTGGGAGAGCCCCTGCGTGCGGAAGGTGGGGATCAACCCTGTCCCCTTCTCTTGGTTCTGGGGCCGACATTCAGGAGTGGACCCGACTTGGCACACTGCTCCCAAGTGTCCTCCATACTGTCCCCTTTATTCCGTTGTCCTGCTTGCCACATACCCCAACTGGCCAATACCCCTGTCTGGGGCCTCCTGGAGGAGTCTCTGACCCGCTGACCCCATCTCCATCCTGATGGGTGCCCCCCCCAAAACCTCCTCGGAAGCCTCAGGCACAGCAGGGAGCGGTTTCAAGACCAGCCTGCCCTGAGCCCTCCTGTGCCATCTGCCTGGGGTGACCGGGACCCTGGAAACATCCCCCTGTCACTCCTAGGCACGTGCTAGCCGACACCTAAGAGAAACCAGTCTGCAGGGCGTGTTGCTAGATGTGCACCGTGCTGAGGGTTTTATGGGGGACCCCCCCGACCCTGTGCTCACCCTCTCTTCCTCCTGCACACGCTGCCAAACCCCCAGGCCTGTTCCTGGAACCTTAAAACAAGCCAGCATTCGCCCAGCAGAGACTGTCCCTCCCTCCACCTTACTTCTGGGGTGACTCTAATCTTCCAGATTAAATCAGGGCTTCATGTCTGACTCAGAGACCCTGACGGTACAGAGCAGGGAGGACACTGTCCACAGACCCTGGCACTATGTGGGAGACCTGCACAGAGGTGTCCCCCTTAGCATGCACCCTGGGCTGCAGCCTAATCTCAGGCAAGGCCCTCCCCCTGCAACCCTCACTCTCTGGGATGACACTGTCAGCTGCCTGGTGTCCTTGGTGGGACACGCGTGGGGCCTGTGCGGGAGGGTGGTGGACAGCGCTTCCCCGTGCTCTGCTCCTCGCAGCTCCGGACGTCACTGGGGAAAGGAAGAGCCTTTATCCGCTACTCCCTGGTGCACCAGAGGCTGGCGGACACCTTGCAGCAGTGCTTCATGAACACCAAGGTGACCAGGTAGGCGCAGGCCACACCCTTCTTCTAACAGTGACAGGTGCGCCCTGGTGTCCACTTGCATCGCCATGGCCCAGGCACCTTCCATTTCTGTCCTTCCCTCCACCCTGCCACTGCCATCCTGGAGCACATGGGGTGGGCGCCCGTGAGTTGTCCCAGGTGTGGGGAGGGGCTGGCGTGGCCACACACCTGTCCCTAGCCCCACCCGGCCTCACTGTGAAGCAGAGCTCAGAGCCAGATCCAACCCAAATGCTAGGTGGGCATGGACGGACAGGTGCAGCCAGGGGCTCCCAGTGGAGTTGCCTGTGGCGGGGGTTTGAACCCTGTGGGCCTGTCCTCAGCTGCCACCTGTGGCCCGTGCCCGCCAGGATATCTGGGTTGCTGGAGGTGGGGGAGCAGCCAGCCTTGGGGCTATGTTTGCAGTCCAGGCTGTCCATGTGTCAGCCCCGAGTCACTGGCGCTGCACCTGGTAGGGGGCAGAACAGAGGGCAAGAAGGGAGGTGGGCATCAGGCAGGCATTGCGGGTCGTATGCCCATCCGTGGGCTGTGCCTCACCTGTCCCGAGGACTGCTCTAGCTAATCAGAGAAATCATTTTTCAGTTGTAGAAGAAAACGACAGTGGGGGGATGTTTTGTTTTACTTTTTCTACTTTTAAGATCTATTGGCCGAAAAATGTAGTTGGTGTGTGTGACAGGCACAGAGAGCACCAAGTAACTACCTCATCAGTGTCGTCTGTTTACATTCTTCTGCTTCCTGTGAAGTGGCCCGACCAACCGCTGGCTCAGAAGCGGATAACTCTCCTGGGCAGAGGGTTTGTCCCTTGGCTTTCCAGCTGGTGTGTGGGCAGAAGTGAGCAGTGTGTCCAGCATCTCGTGCTGAGTTCTGGAAAAGGAATAAGAGGCGAGGGTACTGTCCGGAAAGGAAGTGTACTGTCCCCCACGGTGGCCCTTCCTTGGCAAATATGAGAGTTACACTTTCCCACATCCCTCTTGGGAAATAGATGTGATATAAATAATACATCCAGCCCGTGCCCCAATTTCCCTGCAGAAGAGCCGCTCATTTGCGTTACTACTCCTACAGTGAAATAAAACTGGTTAGGTTGTGTGTCTTCAATTAACTGAGGCACCGAGGACTGAGTAGATCCACTCTTCCCCACCTTTCTGCCCGTCTGTTCACACGGTGTGTCTTCTTCTCCAGCGACTGGTACTACGCGAGAAGCCCCTTTCTGAAGCTGAAGCTGAGCTCGGACATTGTGGGCCAGCTCTATGAGCTGACCGAGGTGCAGTTTGACCTGGCCTCGAGGGGCTACGACTTGGATGCTGCTTGGCCGACATTCGCCAGGTACCTTGAATAGCTGCTCCGTACCTGCAAGGGTTGGGGAAAGAAGTCTTTGAAGCTCTGAAGGTGTTTGAAGCAGTTCTGCCCACTTCATCAGCTGCATCCAGCTCGGCAGCTCTTTGCCTGCTCATTTTTTAGATTTTGCTGAGCCACGACTGAGATAACATCTGAAAGTTCCAACCATAAACCAATCTGATTGGAGGGATCGGAGGGGTATGGGCATGGGTGTGGGGTTAACAGTGCGTGTGGGCTTTTTTCCACTTGAGTTCTTACACCATCATCACCTTCCAAGCTATGGGAAAGGGAGTGAAAGCTACAGCTTGTACCTGTAAGGCTGGCTGGAAAGGTCACTGTGTTTTTATTCCTTTTTCTTTCTGGACCCTGAGAATGGGTAGACTTGATTCGTCTCACGGCTGGTGGGCCTGCTCCTGACCCCAAGCCAGTAGTCTTCACGTGTCAGATAGGGTCTCCAAATTTCAGCACTCACTTATTTTCAACTAGGAAATACTTGGTGTATGTAGAGAAGAGCGTGCTAACCACATAACAGCGAGCAAGATCTAATAGCCACCATGTGCTGTGTCCACTTGCGCTTGTGTAGACTTCAATTTTGAGTCATTTCGGAATTATAAAAGGTCGCAGCAACAGTACAGAGTATTTATCTGCCCTTTGCTCTGATCCTGTTGTTGGTATTTTCTAGGAACCCTTTCAGCATTCTTCTCCCTTCTCTGTACCTGCTGGCTTATTTCTTAAGCCATCTGTGCCTAAATTATAAACTGTATCCTCTTGTTCCCGCAACCACTGTCTCCTGAAAATCAAAGACGACTTCTGCAACTTCAGGACAGTTAGTAAAACCCAGAAATTGACACTGATAGAACGCAGCCGTCTAGCCTACAGACGTTACTCAGATTTTCCAAAGTATCTCAATAGTGTCTTTGTATATCAGGACCCGGCCCAGAATCACACGGGGAAGTGCAGCGTCTGCCTCGCCAGCCCCTTTCACTGGGGACAGTTTCTCAACTTTTGCCTCTCCCAACATTGGCAGTTTTGAAAACTACAGGCCCGTTGTTTTGTAAATTGTTCTTTCCTTGAATTTGTCCAGTGTTTCCTCGTCATCAGATTCGGGTTAAGCCTTTTTTGCAGCAGTGCCTCGAGTGCTGTGCCTGTCTGCAGTCTGTCAGAGGCACGCAGCACTGCTGGGTTTCACGTCCGTTAACCATGATCCTTTGGTGTGGATGGTGTTAGCCAGGCCGCTCCAGAGGCAGTGGTGGCGAACCCGCGTGCCACAGTGGACTGTTATCACTGAGAGCTCTGAAAGGTTCGCCAGCAGTGTCCTAAGGTTACTGTTTGTCCTTATGTAAGTGATACGGATGTTACGGGAAGATGCTTTGACGGTGTTGTGGTCTTCTTTCTCATAAGCCTTTCTGCTCTTGGCTTTAGTGTCTGTTGGTAAGTTTTACCTGAAGCAGTCATTACCATCGTGGTAACCAGGGTGGTTTTCCTCTTTCAGTGTCAGGGCGTTCTGTGCAGGGTGGCCTCTGCCTTCTTCCACACTGACCTATTCTTCTGTATCAGTATGGTGTGGAGTCTTACTCAATTCATGAGGGTTACACTCTGCCACTGTTATTTTGAAACTTTAAAAAAAAAGAAACTTAAATTGGCCCATATTTGGCCAGTGGGAGCCTCTTCTAGCTGGTCCTTGTGGCGGTTTTATCTTATTTTTATGGAGAAAAAGAGCACTGTGGACCCAGCCCCAGCTCAGTGCAGCCTCCCCGACCCCATTCCGGAGGCCACCGCGCCCCAGCATCGTGGCTCACGCACCTCGTGCCCAGGTGGTTGTGTTTTCACCACGTGCGCATCCGTACCTAGTTTATGATTACATACGGCTCTCTTCTGTGTGTATTTTTTAAATTTGCACATTGGACCCTGAGATAGCTAACTTGTCCCGACTTGCCTTTCCACTTGACGTTGCTTTGAGATTTTTGTCTGCATTTGTGCATCAGGCTCCATGGTGGTAGCTGGGGCAGGCAGATCACAGCCCATGGGCCAGCGGAACACAGCCCCACCCGCCTCTTCATATATGTGTGTGTGCAGCTGGATCCTCGCTGTCTGGCCCTTAGGAGGCAGAGTGTTGTGTCGTGAGCTGCCACTGTGCATCTGGTTCCCGGCGGTGGACAGCTGGGCTCCTCTGCTCCCTCTGGGTCACAGCACTCCCAGAGGCACCCTGCCCTCTCCTGTGTGCCTGGGCCTCTGTCTTTGGGCACATTCTGACAAGGGAACTGCTGGTGTAGACACGAACAGTGCAACTGTTTGAGGTTACGGAGCTGGTTCGGCTGGGTAAACGTGCTTAGGTGGCCGTGTTCCTGCTGCACCAGAGCCTGCAGTCCTAGGTGTGAACTGCCCAGCAGGGATTCTGCAGCCAAGGAGGGTTCCGAGCCCTCCTTGTCCGGTGTGGCGGTGTGAACCACAGCAGATCCCCAGCTGCACTGTCTGTGTGTAGGAGAAGGTGGTGACTGCGCCCCTAACCACGGCATCACCTTTTTACCACCTGTGGGACAGCTGTCAAAAGCTCAAGGAGAACTTAAACCCCAAGTTGGAGAATACGTTCCCTTAATTCTTTTTTGGCAGTGGGGAGAACCCTGGTGTTGAACCATCACGGTGGAGTCCTTGTCACAGACCCGTGGCTGTGCTCTTTGGCTCTTGGGTGGAAGGATGGGTCCTTCGTCTTCCCACACCGTCTGAGGTGCTGTCCCCATGTGTCCACTCTGGAGAGACTGTGTCAGCCAGTCCACCCAGGCTTCCTTGGCTCACAACCCTGGCTGTTGAGAGGCCTACACAGTGTGGCACAGTCCTGCCAAGGGCCCCCCTGACTTTCTTACTTCCTGAAAATGGCAGTAAGGGCACAGGGTACGGGAGTAAGAGATCTCCTCTCTGGGCTGGGGACCCTGACAGGCTGGGCATCCCACACCTGCCAGGGCCATTTCCCTGTAGATCAAGGTTACCCCAGCACCCACACCCTAGGTCCAAGCTCCCAACATAGGGGGCCTGGGGTGGTCACACTCAGCCACACCCATACCACAGCAGCCCCTCCTGACTCCTGGGTGTGCGGTGACCTCCTGGGCCTCCACGTGTCTGTGTGTGCACGTGTCAATTGTGTGTACGCATGTGTGTGCGCGCGCATGCATTTCCTGTTCTGTATACAAGTCTGTCTGGTCTGTGGCCCTCAGGAGGACACTGGTACCTGGCTCCTCTGCACACCTGTGGAAGGCCCCCAGCCGGAGCTCCAGCATGAGCAGCCTGGTGAGCAGTTACTTGCAGGTAAGGCCAGGGAGGCTGGGGTTTCCTTGCCCTGGTGTCACCTGGGCTTTGTCCTTGGCCCTCGCCACTGAAGGGTGACGGCTGCAGAAACCTGTCCCAGCCAGCACAGCGCGATCCTTCAAGTCATATCTGCCGTTTCCTGGAGTCCGTGTTTTTACCGCCAAATAGAACTTGGGCCATGTTAAAATTAAATTCTTTTAAAAGATTTTAAAGTTTCTTAAAAGAAGTTTAGCACCACGGCTAAAAGTCACAAAGCCAAATCCTTACCCTGTCACCTACCAACTGTGTGGCTAAGGAGAAATTGCTTAAGGTCTAGAAACATCAGCTCTCTCCCCCAGAAGTCAGGATAATGGAAGCCATCTTAGCTTGTGAATGAAGGAGCATGAGATAAGCAAAATCAAGAAACGTTAGTAGATGGATGGAGTTTGCTGATTTGTTTCAGAAACATGAATGTATCATAGCTATATCTATAATTTTATGAAAAATTGATCAGCAATACATAAAATGAGCATTAAAAATAGAAAATAGACCGTCCTTTGACCTCATTTTGTAGTATAATCACACTAGAAGTTGTAGGTGTAGAACAGTAGGTGAACTATAGCTTAACTATAAGGGATGATTAAAATATACGGTAAATGTTTAAACTTTAAAAATTTGTTGCTGCAAAAGACACATTGCCATGAACCCCTTCGGAATCCCCTCCCTCAGACACACTTACCCAGTGGTCCTTGGCCCTTTCTGAAGCAGCTCTGGCGTCCTCTTTCCTGAGTGGCTTATGAGGGCTGATAAATACAGTGACTGCTGCTGACGAGCGCCGTCCAACAGAAAGCAGGCTCTTAAAAACACTACGCTGTGTCCTCGTCCACCTTCTCGCCGGATCTGGCACCGTGTGGCCCTTGCCTCTTCCCCAAAGTCAAAATAACCATGAGAGGTCAAGATTTTGAATCAATTCCAGACATTGAGGCAGCTAGGACAGTGTTAATTTAAAGACACCCAAGAAAGGGTACTCCAGAGCTGCTGCAGAAAGAGGCAAGAATGATGGGATAAGTGTGCTGGAAGCAAATGGAAGGATTCTGAGGGGGATTCATGGCAAAATATCTTACTATAATGAGTTTTAAAAATGTAAACATTTATCATATTTTTTTAATATGCTACTGATCTCCGCATGGCAGGTGCTTTGAGCAAAGCTGTAGTCCTTTGAACAGCTTTGTAGACTCACCTTAGGTCAGGTAATTCCCGTACTTTTACTTCTGCTTTTGTTAGACTTAACTTCTCCAAGTAGCAAGTCTACTTCCTCCCAAAGCACTTGTTTCTTGTGTTCCCCTCCCCAGACCCAGGAGATGGCCTCCAGCTTCGACCTAGCCAGTCCCCTGAACAACGAGGCACTGGAGGGCTTCGACGAGATGCGGCTGGAGCTGGACCAGCTAGAGGTTCGGGAGAAGCAGCTGCAGGAGCGCGTGCAACAGCTGGACCGGGAGAACCAGGAGCTGCGGGCGGCATTCAGCACACAGCGGAAGCAGCTGCAGGCAGAGAAGCAGCAGGGGCACGCTGCCGCAGAGGACCACAGTCACCTCCTGGACCTGGTAGCTGAGCTCCAGAAGCAGTGGGAGGTCACCCGGGCCACGCAGGATGCCGTCAAGGAGCTGCAGATGTGCCTCCAAGCCCTGGATCGGGATACAGCCAAGGAGAGGGATGGCTCCGCTCTGCAGCGCCTGGAAGCTGTGCTGCAGCCCCTGGCACAGGAGCTCAAGACTGCCCGGGACTCCCTGGGCAAGAACCAACTTTTCTCTAGCCTCTTGGACTGGCCAGCCAGGGCTGAGCAGAGGGCAGACACGGCCCCAGACACAGAAGGGCAGCAGGAGCCCATCCAGGCTGACTTGGCCCTAAACCTCGGAGAACTGAAGGAGAAGCTCCAATCCCTGGAAAGGGAGAGCACCGGGATCCCAGAGCTCAGCAGGCAGCGGAGCGCACAGCTAAAGGAGGAGGCCTGGGCTGGCCCGGAGCGCCAGATGCAGGAGGTGGCACCACTCCATAAAGAGCTGTCCGGGAAGGAGCAGGAGGCAGCTCAGCTCCAGCAGCAGCTGCAGGAGTCGCTGGCCCGCTCAAGCTCCCTGGAAGAGGAGCTGGCAAGGCTGAAGCAGGAGGAGCAGCTGCAGCGGGAAGAGAAGGAGATGCTGGCACAGGAGGCCCGGTCCCTGAGCCGGCAGCTGCAGGTCCTGGAGACCCAGCTGGCACAGGTGAGCCAGCATGTGGGTGACCTGGAGGAGCAGAAGAGGCAGCTCATCCAGGACAAGGACCACCTCAGCCAGAAAGTGGGTGCACTGGAGCGGCTCACTGGGCAGGCAGCTCCAGAGCCACCTGTGGCCAGTGAGCAAGGTGAGGCCCCCGCCTCCTCAACCTCCACCCTACAGCATACCGGTAAGACACCAGAAGAAGGGCAAGAGGATGGTACCAAGGTGCCAGCAGGCGAACAAGAGGAAGAACTCCTCCAGGCCAACCGGGAGCTGCAGAGGGAGCTGCAGAGCATGGTTGGGCGCAACCAGTTGCTGGAGGACAAGCTGCAGGCCCTGCAGGCTGACTACCAGGCGCTGCAGCAGCGGGAGGCATCTATCCAGGGCTCTCTGGCCTCCCTGGAGGCCGAGCAGGCCAGCATCCGGCACCTGGGTGACCAGATGGAGGCAAGCCTGCAGGCCGTGCAGAAGGCCAAGAAGGCCATGAAGGCGCAGGTGGCTGAGAAGGAAGCCGCTCTGCAGAGCAAGGAGGATGAGTGCCGGCAGCTGCGGGAGGAGGCGGCACAGTGCCGGCAGCTGGCAGAGTCCCGGGACGCGGATCTCAAAGTCCTCGCCAATGAGTGCCACCACCAGGCCCAGGTGATAGAGGCCCTCAGGGCAGAGAAGAGCCAGCAGGGCCTCGGCCCACCCCAAGACGGGACTGCACAGCTGGCCCTGGCCCAGGCACAGCTTGAAGTCCACCAGGGGGAGGCCCAGCGGCTGCGGGCTGAGCTGGTGGACCTGCAGGCTAAGCTCCAGGCAGCCCTGGGTGAGCAAGACAAGGCGCAAAGCCAGCTGAGGGTGGCCGAGGAGGTGCTGAGGGAGCACAGGACGTTGGTGCAGCAGCTGCAGGAGCAAAACGAGGCTCTCAACAGGGCCCATGTCCAGGAGCTGCTGCAGTGCTCAGAAGCTCGGGAAGGGCTCCAGCAGGAGGGCAGGGCCGACGCAGCCCAGCAGCACAGGCAGGAGCTGCAGGCCCTGCAGGAGGAGCTGGCCCGGGCCACACGCAGCTCTGAAGAGGCCCGGCTGGAGCATGCCGAGCTGCAGGAGCAGCTGCACCGGGCCAACACGGACACCGCCGAGCTGGGCATCCAGGTCTGCACCCTGACCGCAGAAAAGGAGCGCATGGAGGGGGAGCTCCGCACATGCCAAGAGGCTGCTTCCCGCGAGAGAGAGCGCCTGGAGCGACACGTGGCAGAGCTACTTCAGGAGACGGCAAGCCTGCAGGAGAAGCTGGCGGCAGCCGAGCACGCCGCCAGCTCCCTGGCTGGCCTGCAGGCCCAGCTGGCGCAGGCTGAGCAGCAGGCACAGAGCCTCCAGGAGGTCGCGCACCAGGAGCATGACACCCTCAAGTTCCAGCTGAGTGCTGAGATCATGGACCACCAGAGAAGGCTGAAGGTAACCCCAGCTTCCGCCACTGGGGCTACCTGATTGGGGCAGCACTGAGGGGTCCAGGAGAGGTGACCCCTGCAGCCACGAGACGGGGGACCAGAGAAGGAACGGGGTGCAAGCAAACCCGCCTCACTACTAGAGCTCCCAGCAGCCGCTTTCCCTGTAGCATTGGAGAGGAGGCCTTAGCCTGGCAGTGTAAAAGACTGTGGCAGATAAGACCAATCTACACTGACATTTTAAAAACTCATAGCTGTTTGAAGAGCAGGATGTTTTGTGGCTACTTCTGTGATCTTAGCAGATCTGTAAGCCTATAGCCACTTCCCTATGTGGGTGCCTCCAGCAGGAGCTCAGTGACAGCGTCCACTTCAAAGCAAGCTCCCATCCGCTGGTTTTTCCCTCCCTCTTTTGTGCCCGGCCTCGTCTGGCCATGTAGGTGTCAGAGCCCCCTCCAAAGTCCCAGGAGTACGTGACTGTCCGCGGTCGTGGCCGGGTTTTCACGGGGCACAGGGCCCAGCAGAGCTCTGCAGCCAGCAGTTCCTGTGCACCCACCGCTTGTCACTCTTCAGCCGCTCCTCACCTCCGTTCTAGGCAGCCGCGCTGCGCCCCCTCTCCCGCAATCCCCACCACCACCACCCCACGCCATGGGGCTCCCTGAGGCTCATGGGCCACTTTTCCCATTGCAGAAATGAAATTCTCGGTTTGAGGACCAAACTGAGTCTCTTTCATTAGTAATCTCCAAAGTATTTCGTTACCAGGAGAGCCTAACACCTGTGGAGGAGCCAGTTTAGAAACAGCAGTGGCTTGTTTTACCCACTGGGGTGATGAGGCAGAAGGCGCTGTGGAGCAAGGGCCCCTCTCTGACATCCCCTTCTTGTCTTTCCAGGCTGCCACCGAAGAGTGCAGGAGCCTCAAGGCCCAGCTCGAGCAGCAAGGCCAGCAGCTGCAGGCTGCAGAAGAGGCCATGGGCAAGCTGAAGGTAGCGTAGCGGGTGTGCGCCCGCCAGGGAGCGGGCTCCGGTTTGGGATCGGCGCACGTTTAGCAGGGCTCCCTGCGAAGCTTCCCATCCTCACCAGAAGCAGGCAGTGGTCCAGGCATCAGTTGTAGACTCCCTGAGTTTGTGTTCTGACCCTCATCCCTGGCTGGAGCTGTCAATCAGGGGCAGAGGATAAATCGCCCTCCTTGGCCATCTCCGTGGGCACTTTTAGTCTCTGGCCAGCTCAGGGCCAGTACTGGCCTCATCCCCGCCATCCTATCCCTCAGCACCACCGGGGCATTTTGACGCTTGCAGCCACCAGAGCCACTTGCCCTCGGGGTGTAAAGATGTGTTGCACCCCACAGTGCAGAGCAGAGGTCCTTGGCCTCTTGAAATTAAAAGTCTTGACCTCAACTCCACCACCAGCAGCAGCCACAGAGCCTTCCCTTAGAAGGGACCCAGCCAGCTGGGGCAGAGCACCACAGCCTCTGCGTGGCATCTGGGCAGGCTCGAGCCAGCTGAGTGCCTTCTCCCGATGCCCTGTGCCAGGCCACCCAGGCGGACATGGCAGAGAGGCTGAGCTGCACCAGCGGCCGTCTTTCCGAGTGCCAGGCTGCTGTGGTCCAGAAGGACGAGGAGGCGGCGGCCCTGCGGGAGAGTCTGCAACGGTGAGTCACCGCGGCGGCCGCACAGCTCCTGGCGCTCTCTGGGAGTGTGCAGCACAGTCGTGGAGCAACTCAGCCACTCTTATGGGACCAGGAACGGCCCCGGCTCTGACGCATGCCGCAGGGAAGCCGGGCCCTGTGCTCTGCCTGCTGCTGGCCACAGGCTCTGGTTTGGTTTTCTTACCTGCAGTAGGGTGCGCATGAAGGAGAACTGTGGAAAAACTGCCTGACAGAAGCGCGTGAGGGTGACCGGAGGAGCCGCAGCGAGCACCGAATGAGCGCCCGGGTGTGGCAGGCGGACAGGCTGGGTGCCTTTGTCCGAAACGCGGGCACCACAGGAGGGCTTGGGTTTTGGAGCATTTTGGATTTCAGACTTTTCGATTAGGAATGCTCAGCCTTTAGTCACCTATCTAGTCCCCCCACCCCCAGCCCCGGGCCTTGGGAAGGTGCTGGTCGTCCCTGTCCGTCGGTGGGAGCGTAGGTGGGCTGAGGCCCAAGCTCCGCCCATCCCGTGCAGCCGCCAGGTGCTGTCTGCGTGGCACTTCTTGTGGTCACCCTCTCGTGCGTGCTTTGGCCTGTGGCCATCCCCGAAGACCCCTGAGCACCCTCTCTTCGGCCTAGGGGCCCAGTGTCACCACACTCCTGCAGCCAGCCTGATTGGCATAGCTGAGCTGAGAGGGGCTCCTCAGCCAGCTTGACTGCTGTCGCCAGCAGAGGGGTGCTCTGAACTGTCCTGGGCTTTGCTGTCCCTTACCCATCCCTGACCTCTCCCACCACCTGCCTGGGGAGCCCGGGCCGGGCTCAGTGAGACTCGGAGCCTGGAGTGTGCGCTTCTGCCCGCCTGCCCCTCCCGGAGCCGGGCCCCACGCGCATGATCTAAACAGAGACCTCCCGAGCTGGCTGGGTTTTCAGTAAATGCTGTAACAGTGGTTATTGGTAAGACGTCAGAGCCTTGAGTTGAGCTGCTCAGGTTGCACGAGCCATCTGCCCCGGCTGGATTTTATTTAAAGTACTTTCGCACGTTTGGGTGGACAGTGTAGTAACACGTCTCTGACAACTTAGACAGCCGAGCTCCTGTCCCCACTGAGCCCTCTGTTTCCTGGAGCGCTTGCCGATGTCTTACTGGGCCTCGGCTGTGGTGGGCATCCTTGGAAGACTCCGGCCTTAGGGGCTGGCTGCGGGTGGAGGCGAGGGTGGGAAGACAGCCTGCCCCAGCCAGGCGCTAAGACCGCACAGTGCCCGGAACAGAACTCGCTGGGCCTTGGGGGCCACCACGCAGAAGACCTGCTCGGGCCGGCACTGCGCTCCACACAGAACCGCAAAGACCGCAGGGAGTCGAGTGCCCCTGTGTAGCCTCCTCCAGGAAGCTGTGCCCTCTTCTTGTCCTGACTCTTTTTTTTTCTTGCTCCTCCCAGTCACTACCCAGGGAACCCCCCTAACAGCCCCAGTCCCTGTCCAGGAACCCCGGGAGCAGAACTTAGCTCACTTGGGGTGCTCCTAGCAACTTGGCATCTCCCCGCCCTCCCAGAATGGAACTCTATGGGGGCCAGTGAGGAGGATCCCATTCTGGGGGCGTGATAACCCGTGAGCAGGCAGTGCCCAGGGCCCCACTGTGAAGAGTGCAAGGTGGGCGCAGCCGCTCTCATCATTGAGGCCAGGGTGGGCCCAGGGGCCAGGGGCAGCTGGGGATGCGGCTCATTTAGAAACCTCCCACCCTCTCAGGACCCAGAAGGAGCTGGAGGTCGCCACCACCAGAATCCAGGAGTACTGCAACAAACTCCGCGAGGAGGTGAGCGACCGGAAGCAGAGCGACCAGAAGCTGCTGGCGGACCTGGACGACCTGAACAGAACCAAGAAGTACCTGGAGGAGCGGCTGATAGAGCTGCTCAGGTGAGCGCCAACCCTGCAGGCAGCCGGGACCCATCCGAGCCAGGCGAGGACGCATCCCTCTGCACAGGCCTCTGTTAGGGGCCACGTGTCACCCGGTCTGCCCAGGCCCTGGCACCCGCTTGAGGCTGGGTCTCACGGTTCCCACTGGGGCTCCTCAGGGCTTGGGTTTATGACTCATGTGGGACATTTCAAGCCCTCTGTGTCCTTGTCCCTGAGAGAGTATGTGCTTTTCACAGCTCCTGAGACCCCACCCCCTGCCCCTCGCTCATGGACTGTCCCCTTCCTTACTATCCTTCCCCAGCCCAAGAAGCCCCTGCAGGACCTGCAGCCCTGTTACCGTGCCGTGGCCCAGGTGTGCCAGGTCACCCTGCTTCCAGAGAGAGAGTGGAAATCGGGCTTCTGTGGGAAATGTCCTCATTTTAAAATGTTAGCCAGCCAGTCTCAACTTTTTCTCCTTTTTGGTTTTGCTTTTTGGTACTGGGAATCAAACTCAGGACTTTGCCCTTGCCAGGCATGCGCTTATGCCACTGAGCTCCATCCCCAGCTCTGTCTTCCCCCTTTTTAACTTATTAGTCTTCTAAGTGAAGCTGGGTGCTTCTCTTGTTCTGGGGCCTTCCTCCTCCTAATGCGGCTCTGCCCCAGGGACAAGGATGCGCTGTGGCAGAAGTCCGACGCGCTGGAGTTCCAGCAGAAGGTCAGCACCGTGGAGCGGTGGCTTGGGGACACAGAGGCCACCCACTGCCTCGACTGCAAGCGGGAGTTCAGCTGGATGGTGCGGCGGCACCACTGCAGGTCAGCCGGCGCCGTGGGCCCTCCCACACCCACGGGGGCTCTGCCGAGGACAGCCTACGGACACGGGCACAGAGGGTGTGTCAGTTGGGTCCTAGCAGGAACTCGGGGCTCCCTGAAGAGAGTTGGGCACAGAGGCGCAGGTAGGGCTGAGTAGACCCCAGGGGTGTCACCCACCCAGAGTGTTGTTTGGCCTGCAGGGGGCGGAGGAGAAGGCATTCTGGAGCTCAGTGGGAGCTGGTTCTTGGGCTCCTCACGGAAGTCAGCAGGGCTAGAAGTGCACATTCTTCACCTGCCCACCCCAGGGCCCTGAGCAAAGAGATGAAAGGCAGGCGGGATGGAGGAGGCAGAGTGGTCAGCACTGCCCTGGGAGGTCTGGGCCTAAGCTTAGAGCCAGAGCCTCTGGTGTGGAACATACACCCAGCCTGGTGTCAGGGAGGCAGGTTTCCCTCCCTGCCTCCCTGGACCTTGGAAGTCAGCCGTCTTCCCCCTAAGCCTGCCACGGTGGCTGTTCTGGACCCTTATGTAACGGGCAATGGCCACACTTCACAGGAGGTCCACTGCACTTGGCCTCACAGCCCCACTCTGCCTGTCCCCAGGGTGTGCGGCCGCATCTTCTGCTACTACTGCTGCAACAACTACGCGCTGACCAAGCCCGGTGGCAGGAAGGAGCGCTGCTGCCGTGCCTGTTTCCGGAAGTTCGGCGAAGGCCCAGGCTCCCCCAGCAGCTCCGACTCGACCACCAGCCCGGGAGATGCCAGCCCCAGGCTGTCCCCGGCCCACGCTGGGACCCAGGCCGCAGGAAGCCAAGGTCAGGCTCCTGCCCGTGGTGTTCTCAGGTTCCCCCCTGCCCCCCGTAGGTAGTGAGCCCTAGCAGGCTGGCTGCAGTGTTTCCCAAGCTTAGATGTCAGAGAGGTGTGAGAAATACACTGCCACCAATCCGAGGCTTTCCTTTTGTGGTCACTAGGATCAAACAGAAAGTAACTTCCTCCTGATAGGGTTCGGTGTGCCTAACCTGAGGTCTATGTACAGGGCCACCAGCGGAGTGCACCCCGCATTCAGCCCTGGTGTCCTTCCTTGTTCCCATGGTAACCCCAGACCCAGGGTGCCGCCGTCCAGGTCCTCACACTCTCTACTGGCCAGGAGGACACGCTGCTGTTCCCTTGTGTCCCGGCAGATCAGCACGGACGTTGTCACGTCCTGTGATTTATTGGCATAAAGATCTGCCCGTTGGATCTGCCTGTGTACTTGGCACAGCATTAGTCTTCAAATATTTTTCTCATTTTTAAAATAATGAGTTTTTTGGCTTTTAGTGTCATGCCTAGCTTTGTTTAACCCAAGTATTAAAATGTCACCCTTTGTTTTCTGCCAGTATCACACTTTTAGGTTATATTTAGGTCAGTGGTCTGTTTTGAGTTAATTTTTATGTATTGTACAAAGTATGAATAGAGTTTTGGTAGGTTTTTAGTTTTGGTTTTTTGTACATAGTTATCCAGTAGCTGGCAGTCTATCCTTCTCCATAGAACTGCCTTTGAACATTCACCAAAAATCAGTGGACCTTGCATCTGTGGTTCTCTCTGGACTTTATTCCATTGCATTTAGCTACATGCCTGTTTCATACCGCACCATGCTGTTACAGTTGCCAGAGTTTTATAAAGTATCATAAAATCAAATAGAGTGAATCTTCCAATTTTGTTCTTTATCAAGATATTTACTGTTGTGGATTTATTGCTTTTCTACAGAAATTTGTAGAATCCATTTGTCAGTTTCTACCATGTCCCCCAAGTCCTGGTACAGTATTAATTGGGATTGCATTGAAGCTGTATAAATCAATTTAGGGAGAATTGATGTCTTAGTAAAACTGACTCTTCCAATCCATGAATATGGTATAGCTTCCCATGTACTTGGGTCTTCTTTTCTCTCAATTTTGTGTTCTGTTTTGTTTGTTCTGTTTTTTGGCAGTACTGGGGTTGAACCCAGGTCCTTTGCACTGCACTGCATCCCGGGCCCACCCCCCCACACACACCCCTTTTTCAGTTTTGGGGCAAAGTCTTCCTAAGTTGCTCAGGTGGGGCTCAAGCGTACAGCCCTCTGCCCTCTGCCTCTCAGGGCACTGGGGCCACACACTCGGGCCACCACACCCGTCCCTTGTTTTGATTTCTGACATTTTCCGTCTGCTCATTTTTTTCTTTTCTTCTTTTCTTTTCTCCAGCTCTTCTTTTCATTATTCTTCCTTCCTTAGGCTTGCCCTCACGTTTTCTGTGGCCTATGCTCGAGGGTGCCATGGACAGCGCCCTCCCTGTGCAGTGGGCCCTGGTCAGCTGCCCTGTGCCTGCCGTAGTCCTTGAGCAGAGCGAAGTCCTGTCGCGCCCAGCAGCACCCCGGAGGGGTGTGTAGGCCACGCCAGGCCTACTTCAAAGAGGCCGAGTGCGCTCTGCCTGTGCGCTGCCGAGCAAGGACTGGGGGCACAGACGTCTTACGCTTAGTTTCTTTTTCCTTTGGTGCTTATGTTTACTAGGCCATGTTGATGGCGCCTGATGACCCCACCCTCGTGAGGAGGTGGTGCTGGACGTCACACGTCTCAGTTCTTTACGCACACCTTCTCCTCTTCACCCCATCTCTCCATCCCCTTCCCATTTGCAAAAGCTCTGTCTCCGTGTTTCCTGTATCTATTATTTTACTCTTCACTTTGTTTATACTTGGGTTTCTCCTATAAGAAAAATCGTGTGACATTTACCCTTGCGGATCTTTTCACTTAGCATTAGTATCCTTAGTTTCTTTCCCAATAAAGTTCTGGTAGGTTTTTTTCCTTATAGCAAGGGGTGCAGACAATGTGGAAGAGGTCGAAGCCTCTCCAAGCCCCTGACGTTGCAAAGTCTCTCAGGCTGTGAACTCAGGTTCGGCCGTAGTCCCTTTGCCTTTGTGCACTGACCTGCAGCCATTCCTCCTGCTCCAGGCAGGATGGCGGGCTGCTGAAGGACACTGAGCACTGTCCGAGTGCCTTGTTCCGGCCTCCCTGCCTACGGTGACCATGCGCCATCTCTTCCCTCCTGCCCTGTCCCTGTCACCAGGAGCTGACTGCAGGCAGCCAGACGACGCCGTGTTCGACATCATCACGGACGAGGAGTTGTGCCAGATCCAGGAGTCCGGCTCCTCTTTGCCAGAAACACCCACGGAAACCGATTCTCTGGACCCGAGTGTGGCCGAACAGTGAGTCGGTGCCCTGTGGGCCTGCCGTGCGCCTGGTTCCCGTGCTTTCTTACCAGAGGACCAGGAGAACGTGACCCTGGGAGCAGGGCTGGCTGTCTGGCTGAAGGGGCAGTGTCTGTGACACCACAGCCTGTCTCTCTTGGCTTGTGCAGTCACACTGGTCAGCTCAGGTGGCCACAGCGAGATGCCACAGACTGGCGGTTTCAACCGCAGCAAGGTGTCTCCCTGCAGCTGTGCAGGCTGGAAGCCCAGGTCAGGGTGACAGCAGTCAGCTGCTTCTCTCTGGCTTGGAGATGGCCACGCTCTCTTGCTACCCCTCACATGGTCACCTCCGTGTGCACACTAGCGACACCCTATACCTCCTGGCCTCCTTTCATAAGGACACTGGGCAAGTCAGATTAGGCCCACCCTAAGGCCTTGTTTAATTTAATCTTTCCTTTAAAGGCCTTATCTGCAAACACAGTCAGGGTCTCAGTATGGGGCCCTGTGAATCTGCCGGGGGACACAGTTCAGGCACCACGCTGCCCTTAGCTGTGTTGCTCTTTGGAAGCCTTGCCCTGGGCCCCAGGGAAGATCTTGGTCCCACACAGCTCACCACCTAACCGCGTGTGGCCAGGTGCTGAGGGAGGTACGGCTTAGTGCTGAGGACAGAGCCCTGGCCCTAGCCTCGGGGAGCGCACTGGGAAGGAGCGGCCGGGGGCAGCCTGGCGTTAAGGGCCAGGCTGGCTTTTTGTGTGAGCTCGGGGCATTAGGTTCTGGTCATCTTCAGGAAACGCTGGTCAAGCTTGGCGACAGTGCTGGGAGAAAGGAAGCTGGGATCAGGTGCAGCTGCCTCTGGCAGGTGTGTGCTTGCTATGGCGCTTTGGGTCCAGATAAGCCCACCAGCACCCCAGAGGCTAACGGGTGAAAACGGAGGCGAGTGTGTTCTCTACCCTCCGCAGGGCCCGGGCCCTGGGCCCCGTTCACCCACAGAGCACGGCTGGCCGGGGGACATGGCCACAGGGGCTGCTGGAGCACCGTCCTCTCCGTGCCCTCTCCCTTTCCCAGGGTGGCGATTCTCCAACAAGGGCCTGTCCATAGAAACACGAAACTGCACAGAGTGCCCCCACGTCCAGAGTTCATGCCAGGGACGAGCAGGCAGAGGTCCTTGCCTGCTCTGGCTCGGCCCCTGGCTCGGCCCCTGGCTCGGCCCCATGCAGTTTTCCCAGCAAAGCACACTGTCCGGACACCCGAGAGAGTCGATGTGGGCCAGGCCCTGGAAGCAGCGCTCAGCCCTGGATGGGGTGGATGGGGGCACAAGGAATCTATGATCACCCTGCTGTGCAACGTGGTCCCTAACATGCCACAAGACGGTACAGGTCCATGGCCCGGAGGTTGTGGACCCCTGGCTTGAATGGCCTCCCAGAGACCCACAGCCTGAATGGTGGCCTAAAGCCTGTATTCTGCGATGTTGTCCCATCAGAAGGCTGTAGACACGTCTAGGCCCCTGTCCCCTCGGACACTGGCCCTCCAGCGCCTCCAAGCAGGGGTCAGCTGCCATCAGGACAGAGGGAAGATAGCTCTTGTCAGGACAGGGGTAGCACAAGGGCCAACAGGAGCAGACATGGCCTCCCCTCCTGGCTGTCAGATACACAGATGAGGACCTGGAGCTGCAGCGTCGCGCACCGTGCAGGGCCCTGGCAGTGCAGAGACTGGCGCACCCATCCTGTGGGGCCCAGGCGGAGATGGGCCACCTGTGGCCGTTGTTTCCTCCATGCTAACGCTGAGTCACTAGTGGGGGGTGGGGGGAGCAGCTAGCATGTCCACCACCCTGCACATCGGGACCTGCCCCAGTAGCCCATCACCCTTTCCAGTTGCCTGGATGGCCCTGGGTGAGGCAGAACTCACCCACGCACTTGCCAGCGATTGCCCAGGGCCAGGGCCTGCAGGCAGGTGCTGCAGGAGCCGAGGGTGGGAGACTCAGAAATAAAATAAGAACAGGTTGTGACGGTCACGGTTAAGGTTGGAAAGCCACAAGCTCTGCCCCCAGCCAAGTGCTGAGCCGGCGGGCACTCTGCAGTCTGCCAGCTGCTGCACTCGTGAGGGGCGTAGGAGGCCGTTGAGGGGAGCGTAGCTGCACCCTGCTGCATGAGCCTAGCAGGATACTGACCCCCAGAGAAGGGGTCTACAATGCCAGGCTCTTACAGGGTTACCATGAACCTGGGAGACCAGCACCTGGCCTTTGGGGAGAAGACCACAGAGACACTGGCCACTTCCTCTGTCCCCCTTCCCTCCTGTGCCGGCTCCACCTCCTCCAGGATGCCCAGGAGAGCCCTCGGTGACCAGGGCCTTGCATCTAGCACTCCCAGATGACAGGGCCATCTGGGGGTCTTCTGTCTCTAACTGGGGCCGTGAGCCGTGAGCTCTACCACCGCCCAGAAGCTAAGCCTCCAGGGCCCCCTGAAGCCACGCTCAGGGAGTGTGGGCTAAGCAAGGTCTGTGCCAGCTGGCGGCCCATGGGCCATCCCACACCCTGGCCTTGCTGCTGTGTGAGTGGACTATCTGCCCCCGCAGAGTGGGTCAGCACCAGAGAAGGAATGGAAGATCCAGCTGCTGTGCCATCCTGGCAACAGGGGCCCGGGCTTTCCCTCCAAGGGCCCGCTCCTGCAGGCACAGCGCCCCTTTGGACTTAGTGGACAGCAGGGTGGGTGCAGCCCGGTGTCCCGACAGTGCCCTGCAGGTAGCAAGCACTGGCCCCTCCCGCTGCTCCCCCAAGGGCGTCTGTGCGGTGTCTCCAGGCCCTGTCTCCTTTTTCCTTCTCCTTCCTACTTACAGGCTCGACCCCTTGGGCCAGGGCACTGTGTGGGAAGCCAGGGGCTGGTAGCTGCTCTGTCATAAGTTCCCATGTCAAGAGGAATGCATAGAGCAGGTGACTTAACCCCCACGGGCGCCAGATAAACACCAGCCCGTTGTTTGAGGAGGTGCATGGTGGCCTGTGAGGCCTGAGCCAGGGAGCTGTCCTCAGAGTCCTGTGGGTTTGTTTCTGAAATAGTGCGCAAGGTCGCGTGTTCCCTCAGGGCCTGGCTGTGCCCAGCTGGCCCAGGCTGCGGGCGACGGACCTACGCACACCTCTAGAAGACAGGCAGTGAGCCCCGCCCCTCGCCAGCCTCAGGGCTGGTGCAGACGGCTCCCATCCAGTGTCACTCACTGGTTCTCAAAAGAAATAATAACTACTGCTGGCTTGGTTTTGGAGCCCTCTGCCCCACCAGGTGCTTTGCCTGCATTGCTAGGGGCTCCCCACAGCAGCCCTGAGCGTGGGTGCTGTTAAGATCCACATTTCACCAAAAAGAAGGGAGGCAGGCAGCCTGATGTCTGCCACCTGTGCAGCCCTCCCGCCGCCCGAGCTGTGCCTGGCCTTGCTGCGTATTCTGCCTTCCGATGTCACCGGCCCGCCTCTGGGTGGGTGACTTGCATGAGCCCTACAAGCATCTCTCAGCCAACTGAGACGTCCAAAGGGGAAGCACGGTGGCGTCCGGTGACTCGATGGAAGTCAGGCGCGAGCACGCCTCCCATGTGGGGAGAAGGTGGAGCCCACAGAGAAGGGCGAGATTGTCGGCCTTGATGCGCTGCACGCACTGCCCAGAGCCCCACTCATCTCCTGCTCTGAACCCAAAAGTAACCATTTCTCCCGTCTTCTACCTGAAAATACTTCGTCCCTAAAGGTAAAAGCAGTTTGGAGACTTTTAAAAAGTAGGTTTATTTCTTATTCATGAAGTTCATGTGCTGCTCAAGGTGTGAGCGAGAGTATGTGTGCGTGTGTGCACACTTGCACAGGTGCTGTGTGGCAGGTGTGGGGTAATTCTGTCTTGAAAGGAGCAAAGCCACCGAAGAATCCGCTCTAGAAATGCAGCTTCGATTTGTTGGAGTCCTAAGCTGTGTTTTTCACATTTGCCACTGCAGTTCTCAGCCAGGTCAAACTGGTTTGGGCCCATTTACAGCCCCGCCCTTGCTCCTTCCCGCTCCCTGCCAGAGAGCATTCCTGAGTGCCTGGGGTTGAGGTCAGAGCCGCCCTGACAGTGAGGGTTCGCTAGAGGAGCAGTTTGATGTAATATGTAGACAAGCTATGAAGAGGGTTTACAAGGTAGGCCCACAGTGGTTGCCTGTGCGCTGGAGATCAGGGGATTCTGTCGGAGGTCACGCAGAGCCCCTGCATGTCCACGTTGGGAAGCCGAGGGGTCTGCCCTGGAAGCCTGGAGACAGCGTCCAAAGGCGAGGGTGACTACTGGAGCTCCCCCGAAGGAGCAGACGCGAGCCTTCCTCCTTCTTTCCCTTTTCGTTCCACCCAGGCTGCAAGCCTGTCGCTCGGTTCCACCCACTGGGGCAGGCGTTCCCCCTTCAGGAGGTCCGTCATCCGGGTGCGTCCAGGGCCGTGCAAAACCAGCCCACTGGGTGTTTCTCACTCAGGTTGACAGCACGGTCAGCTGTCACGGCTGTCAGGGCTGCCGTACCTCCACCTCTGACCCACAAGTAGGAGGAGCCTTCTGACCTCAGGAGACAGTGTGGGCCCCACATCCACAGCTCTGTCCGCCATGCAAGCTTTAGCCCTCCACCCCAGTCCCAGCCAGGGAGGGCCTGAGACTCAAGTGTCACGTGGCACCATGTTGATGTGGGTATTCTTGAGGACAGAGGAAGGAAAAACCTTGAAAAATTTACACTTGCCCCCCTGCAACATTAGGGCTGGGCATTAAGGCAGCAGGAAGCATCATGGCGAACATCTGCAGTCCCCGAGTTCCGAGAGGTGGAGGTGGAGAGTCACAAGTTCAAGTCCAGCTTGGGAAATTTAGCAACTTAAGACCCTGTTTCAAAAGAAGAAAGCCCTTGGTTTGGCCACCCGAAAGGAACAGGATGTGCTCCTTTCACACCAGCCATAGTATTTGACTTTTCCAAGGGAATGCACAGGCTACAAACAAAGCCTTCGCACCGTCTCCTCCAGGGGGCGCAGCCACGGGATCTCACAGCAAGTCCTCCAAACCCACCCGGCCTACAGCTGGAACGTGCTGGTGGGCTTTGCATTGTGCGAAGCAGAGTAACTCTTGGAGTTGTCCTCAGAAGACTTCAGTTCACTGGAGAATCCAGCGCTAGGGAGGCAGCCAGTGTCCTTCATGAGTTTCCAGAAGCTCTTGCGAAATTTGAGGCCGACAAAGGCGTAGAGCACGGGGTTAAGGCACACGCGCAGGTAGGAAATGGCCTCGGTCACGACGACGGCATAGTTGAAGCTGGTCCTGGTGTAGTACTCCCATCTGGAGCTGCGGATGAGCTTGACCAGGCTGAACGGTGTCTGGGTCAGCAGGAACACAACCACCACCAGGATGATGATCTTCAGAGATTTGTGCTTCTGGAAGCCTCTGCTGAGCAGAAGGGTGCGGATGATGGCCGGGTAGCAGAGCATCATGATGACCAGGGGCAGGAAGAAGCCCAGAGTCATCTGGGTGACCAGGACCACCCTGAAAATCTCGTCTTGGTGGTAGTCACACACGAGCTTGTCGAGGTTGTGGACTTCGCCATAGATGATCTGTGGCAGGGACAGCACCAGGGAGACCACCCAGGTGCCACCCAAGATGCCCTTGCCCCAGGCCATACATGTGGCCCCCTGGATGTAGGCCTTGGTGGCCCGGACCACCACGAGGTACCGGTCTATGGTGATGCAGGTGAGCGTGAGCATGGACACGTAGAAGTTGGTGGCGTAGATGCCGTGCAGGATCTTGCACATAGCCCCGCCGAAGACCCACTGGTGGGAGCCTGCGTACGCCCAGAAGGGCAGCGTGCAGACGAACACCAGGTCGGCCAGGGGCAGGTTCACCAGGAAGATGTCCGTCACACTCCGCACCTTCTGGTAGAAGATGTAGATCACCAGCACCAGCACGTTCCCCAACAGGCCGAGCACGAACACCAGCACGTACACGCAGGGCAGGAAGACCTCTTGGAAGCGCAGGAAGCGTGCGTGCGCCTCCCTGCTGTTGTCCTCGTCAGCGCTGCTGAGCCCGGGGATTTGGGGGAATTCATAGTCAGTGGGTTCCACGTCATCCATGCTCCCCTGTGAGTGAAAACCTGGAATTACACTTGGGCTGAGAGTGACGCTGCTTGCCCCCACCTCCCACACTGCCCCAAGGACTTCATTTTAGGAGGCACATGCTGAGCTCCTGAACCACCACGGCCATGCTCAGGGGACACTGCTCAGGAAGGATGAGGGCCTGAAACCCACTGGCCCGAAATTCCCAGAACCTCACCCCGCTGAGACCCCATGTGCATCCCATCATCCCTGTGTACAAGAAGCAAACCATGCCATGCATGCCATGGGCGCTGAGACGGAGGGCAGGGCCTGTCGTGCTCTGTTCAGGCCTCCTGGAGGCGCCCATCCACCCTCCACCCCTTTCGCTATTAGGTCCTGAAAGCTGGCGCCAGTGCGGCTGCCCTGCCAAGGAGACTCCCGATGGCCGCACGTGGTGCAGTGACAGGGACTTCGCTCTCTGGTGGACAGTCGTCCCTGTTACTCCTCCCCTCTGTGACATAGACGTAGAGGGCAGCTGATGGAGAACCAGGATGAGGAAAAGCCCACCGCTGCCCAGGGCCTTGGCTGAGCCAGCTGCTGCCCGAACTGTCCCCGATGTCCTCCATCACAGCTCATGACATCCACGCCAGACCCTGTTTCCGGAAGACTTCTTCCTCTTCCGTCTCCCCAGAGGGGACACTGCCGCAGCTCTGTGGGGAGCGCTGAGGGTCTGAGCTCCTTTCCCCGGAGGAGGAGCCCTGACACTGGCACCAGGTGGGCGGGCGACTGTGGCGGGGCTGGTGGCAGAGGCCACGTGGCTGCCTTTCCTGCCCACGGCTCCGTCCCCTGTCGGCTGTCGCTTCCCTCTAACCCTCGCTGCCTGTGGCCTGCCAAGGACCGCGGACTGGACAGGACATGGGTGCAGGAGCAGCCGTGGCAGCACCGACCTGGGAGAGCCTGGCTAACCGTGCCCCTGGGGACCCAGCTCCCACCCCAGCGGCACCCCAAGAGGTGTGCTAAGGAGACGGGGATTGCGGCAGACACGGGCACGTGCAGCACGAGGCCCTCCCCGCTTTGATCCACTCAGGGACACTTCCTTCCCCGACCGGTGTCTGCCCTGACACTTCTGTGGCCCCCGTCCTGGCTGGGGCCAGAGCACCCCGGGAGGAAGGGGATTCTCCTCAGCAGCAGGCTCGGCACACTTCCCACGTCTGCACCACAGAGGGTAGATCTGAGGCATAAGCCAGCCAGAGGCTCAGTGCCCCTCTGCCCTGCTGGGGACCTCGATTAAGAAGGTCGGGTGGCCACATGAGCGTGTGTTGCTTCACACAGGGATAGAAAGAGTTCTCCCCTCATTTGAAATAGGGACCGGCATGCGGCTTCTCTCACGAGGCCTGTTCAGCGGGACTTCCCCGCCAGACCCCCTGCCGCCCCCTCCCCGGCCCTCCTGTGCCCAGGCCTCGCGTCCCGCCGCGCCTGCGCAGTGAGCGGTGAATGTCAGTGTGGCGCTGGCAGGTGGGGCCGGGGCAGAGTGTGCAGATAGGGCATTCGGACGCGTCCCCTAGAGAAAGGTTTCAGACATTCGTTTCTTCGTCTTCTCTAATCAGAACCCTACATGGGTTTCTGAAAATTTGTTTTAAAAAGGTAAAATACACAACTTTTGGGAATAACATCGTCTGACAGTAAGTAAATGGAAACTATAATTCAGACATAAAAAATAGAATATGACCAAAATGTTTAGGGGGCACTTTTTGGTTATTTGGGGAAACGCAGTGTATTTACTTGTTCGGAAGAGTGTAACAAAATAAATCTGCAACACGCATGTGAGCTATTACTGTGCGCTATTACTGTTAGCGAGGAACAGGTGGTAACACTGACTGTGATCCGTAACCCTTTGTCTTCCCCCACCTCCCCTTGGGCCTGGGGACTGAACCCAGGGCTTTCGCACCGAGATGCACAAGCCCTTCGCTTTTTTCATTTTGACAGAATCTCACTAAGTCTCTTAAGTTGCCCAGTCTGGACTCTAACTTGCAGTCCTCCTGCCTCAGCCTCCCAGAGTGCTCAGGTTAAGTCATCCATCACCGTGCTTGGTTTAGCTGTTTTTAATCATAAACTCATTTTGAATCTCTGGGAAATTTGCAAACATTTGTGCAGAAATAACCTCCACACACTTCTAATTCTGGGAGCTCAGGAACTCTGTCTCCCATAGATGCTTGAGAATCTATGATAAACTTTGTAAATATATTTCTAGATCATAGAAAATAGCCACACTTCATCAGCGGTTGGCCTCTGGCTGGTGCAATTTTGAGAGATGCATTTCCTCTCTACCTTTGTGCTTCAGTAGTTTCTACAGTGGCAGATTGATTCATACTGAAAAAAGAGAGTAAACAGTAACCTGGGCAGCATAGCTTGCTTTACAAACACCAAGGAAGGGAAAACGGGACTGTGTGTCATAGGTGGACAGTGAGGAGACTCCCCTTCCCTCCCGGGGGCTCTGATGACAGTACTGTCATCAGTACTGCTCACACCCCTGAGCTGCAGGCCCTTGCTGTGACGGTCCTGTCGCCCTTGCTCTAATGTACCCCTCGCAGCTGCGGTGAGCCCAGGCGAGCTCTGTGGCCCGCGCTGCAGGCCAGAGTGAGCTCCAGCGACGCCGGGGCTTGGTCCTCCCTGTCCCGTCTGAGAGTAAGGAGTAGAGACAAGCGACTCACCGCAGAGATGCCCTGCCGGCTCCGGAGCCACCTTGCTCTGTGCGCGTGGCTGCCCCTGCTGCTGTCTGATGCGGTCTGTGCTTCGCGGAGGACTTAAGAGCCCTGGGCTGCTGAGTAGGGACCCACCCCTTCCCTCCCCGCAGGTCAGGTCTTCGTGCAGGGCCCTGCCCCACACACTGTGGTGTCAGGGCCCAACCCTGACACCTCACACGCCCCTTCCTGGCCTGGCGCTTGCTCCGTGGCACCCGAGAGGGTTTTATTTGTAAACTGAAGGGAAACAGCCAGTAGGTTTGGCTCCAAGTGTCCCCTGAGAACGCTGCTTTTGCCCTGGCGTAAGATCTGCACACCTCCAGTGGGTATGCCAGCCCTTGCACACGTCCTTTCCACGGAGGCAAACAAAGGAGCAGGGTGTTTCCAAGAGGCTGCACGGATGCAGCAGGCAGGGACAGACCGAACCAGACCGGGAAGAGGGGCCCAGCACCCAACCTTGCGGAGACCCTTGTGGGCCGGCGGCCCTTAGGTGAGGCTGTCCAACTCCACGGTCCGATAACCTTGAGAGTCAGGTTTTCCTTGGGACAAGTGAACCCAGCTACGCCCCCTCTCATATGTGACTGTGATCAGCTCCGTGCAGGGACTTGGGCTCTATGACAGACAGAGGAAAGGGGCACGGTGTCCTTGAGAAAGCAGCACGTGTGCCCTGGCCACAAGACCTACCTAGAAAGTTCTTGCCGGACCGAGGACTTGCAGCTGAATTCAGGGAACCAAGCTACTCAGTTTGGAGCTAAAATTCTATTTCCCCCACTTTACACAATGCCTTCTGCTGCCTGCTCGGGTGTCATTCTGCTCATTCCAAGGGTGTCCCTTTGAAATGCAGCTCTGGGTGAGTGCCGAACCATTTGTGTCTTGGATTTCCCCGGAAACACTCAAACATTTTCCAAATACAAGTAGTGGGAGGAGAAGGGAAAGTGGCAGAACCACAGCTGCAGATTTAGCAGGTCAGACTCCGTTCCTGCCTGCCTTCTCCAGGCACCTGGCACCACCAAGCCGGTGCTTTTGAGATGTCTTGGGATGTCACTTCCAGGATGCAGGGATGAGGTGTTTGCTGCTGTTGGGAAGGAGGGTCTCATGCGTGGCCTGGCAGGTGACAGGCTGGTGACTTAATGTCTAATGCACCACAGAGAGGTGGGCGAGCCGGAGCCGCCCCGTAACCCGCTGATGGTGCCAGCCGCTGGTCGTGAGGATGGGCCATGGGCTTGCGTGCTGGTCGCGTGGTCGGTCCCACGGCTTCGGAAGTCAGGAGACTCAGGGTTGTTCTTCACTTGCTTTTAGGCAGAAAGGAAACCAGTGACTGAAAGGAAAACTACTAGGAGTTTACTAGCAATTTTACAGTGAACTAAAAGTAATAAAATAATAGAAAAATAGAGGACACCCCCCTATACACACACATCTCAGAGCAAGTGTGGTGCAGGGTCTGGCTCTGTCCAGCCCTTCAAATCTGTGCTGGCCACAGCCTTCTGCCCTGGCAGACACCCTTGAGCCCACTGTCCAGCAGTGGCCACAAGCCCGTGCGGTGACAGCACATGACCTGTGGCAGTGCAGCCTGGAGCCAGGTGTTCAGTTTGATTTCATCCTGATGAGGATGGGTTCAGCTTCCCATGTCTCCTGGCTGCCGGCTTGGGGGTGCTGCTCTGACCTGGTGACCCGCCCTGCTCCCGGGTGATGACAGAGCAGGACCCCGCCCCTGGGCCTGAGGAGCCTGGTTAGGCGCAGGAGCAGGTGTCTCCTCACTGTGAGGGGCAGCAGAGGCCCTGCCTCCCCCGCCAGCCTACAGGCCTGGGAGTGGACAGCGAGCATAGGCGTATCGATGGCTGACCCAGATGCACTGTAGGTGCCAGTTGGAGGGACTCCACGGCGACCCTCGCCCAGGTGGAGTGGGCTCCTGCACGGTGTCGGGTGGAGTGGGGCTCAGCATCTCCCCGTTTGCACTCTCCATGTTGTTCTCGGTTGCATCCTTCTCGGAGGGCATTTGGGATAGGGAAACCCTTACCTGGTAACACAGAAGGAGGAGGTGGAGGGTACAGCAGCTGCCCAGCAGCACCCACCCAGCCACCCCCGGGGGGTGAGCAAGCTGGGGCACCCATGTGCGTGCACCAGAGGCCCAGCCGTGGAAACTCAGCAGGAAGCGGTGGCAGCCCTCAGCCGCAGGAAGCCACCGTACCTGGCAGTGAGCACGACTGCCACGGAGCCGTGGAGAGAGGTCGCTGTGGGCGCTGAGTTTATCCAGCTTCCCTTCGGAGAAAACGATCACTAAGGGAGCAAGGAAGGGCCTGCAGAAGGAGAGGTTGCCCTCTAGTGTCTGCTTGCGTCGCCTCTTGTCCTCAAACTTGGCTTCTAACAATTGCTTGAACGCTTTCTGCCTCATCCCACAGAAATGCACTTCACGTGGCGACCCCGGTGTGCACCTCTGTGAGGTGTGATCAAATACGGGGTAGGTTGAAAGTTTAAAAGTTACAACAATGAAAGATACCTTGCCACAAAGCCCCCTCAGAATACTCCCTTTGACTTGGAGCACACTCATCCCATCGCCCGTGCCACTTTCTGCAGCAGCTCTGGAGTCCTCTTTCCTGAGTGTCTTTAATTGGGCTGTCTTGCTTCAGTGTCCTAAATCAATTCAGAATGTTGACCTATCATGGTCATTTTTAATTTGGGAGCCAGAAGTTCCATGGCGCCAGTTCCCGGGAAGCGGGTGGAGAAGGACACAGCATCATGTTTTTGCAAGCCTGTCTTTCCATCAGATGTGCTGGGCAGCAGCAGCCCTGGTGTTTATGACACCTCACAAAGACACACAGGAAAGAGGACTGCAGGGCTGCTGCAGAAAGTGCCAGGATGATGGGATGAGTGTGTGCAGAGCAAAGGGGAAGACTTTGAGGGGGGTTCATGGCAATGTGTCTTTTGCTATAATAAAAGTGTTTTGGTTTTTTTTTTCCAGTCCCGGGAATTGAACTCACGACCTTGCCAGGCAGGCACTATGCCGCTGAGCTAAATCCCCAGCCCCAATAAAAGTTTTTTAGCTTAAACGTTCACCCATATGTTCCCACCACTCCTTATACATAGTGGTGAATCAAGTGCCTCCTAAAACAGTGCTTATCCTCACAGCACTTAATGTACTGTTATACTGATAGCTCCTACTTTATTTGTTTCATTTTTATGTGGGTGATAACCTGCTAAATGGACTCACAGCCGCTGAGCAGATCACAGCCCCAGACTGATTGAAAAGCAAACTCCCTGCCTCTAATCGTTACCTCGGGGACAGTCTTCCCCACATATCCTTGTCCCTGTGTAGGGCACCTGCTCCGAATCTGCCCCTTGCAGGTAGCCAGGCCTTGACTGTCGGGCGTGGTCAGAGCGAGAGTGATGGAAGGGAGAGACACCGATGGAAGACAGCTTTGATCCCACATGCAGGAAGACTGGGACCTGCCACGGTTCTCAGCGGTTCCCAGCCTGTGTTATTTTTTATCTCAGTTTCAGTACGCGCACTTCGGGCAAGGCTGGCAGCAAACGAGCCTGCACGGGCTCAGACCGCCTGCTCTGGCCTCCGCTTCCCCGCCGTCCGGGGGAGGGCTGGGCTCAGTGGTCCCTCTCAGGGAAGTCTTGTGATTCTCCTTGTCGGGGAGGGGCTGGGGCCCAGTGTTGGGCTCGCAGTAAAGATGCGCCTGATGGGGAGGAGGTCAGAGTGGATCCCAGGGGACTGGGGTGGAAATACGCAGCCGGGTGGCAGCAGGTGCCGCAGCACGTGAGCTTGCTCCCCTTGGCTGAGAAGAGCAGCAGCTGGGCACATTCCCCAGCCACCTCCCCGGGCTCTGGGCCTTGCTGTGCCACAGCTACCGCACAGGCGGTCCGGGCTCCGACGGTCCAGTGCATTTGCTGCACCTGCCCTGCGAGAGGGCCCCTCTCCCTGTGGGTGTCACATTCTCACGGGTGGGGCAAGGCCGCCACTGCAGGGCCCTCGGCAGCACACGGGGCAGGAGGGCAGGACGGAGCTCCGGGAAGTGCTGGGCGCCTGGGATGGAGGCGAGGAGTGGATATGCCGGGGGCCGGGTGGCAGCAGCCTTGTAGGGAGCAGCTCTGGGTAGGGGCAGTTTGGGATGTGCTGACCTTACCTGGGGCCGTGTGGAGCGAGCCCAGCAGGGCTGTTGAGAAGGCCTTATTACTCCGGGGGGTGGGGGTCTCCTCGTGCCAGCCTCCCACTGGGGACATTTTTCTCTTCTGGACCTATTTGTCCTATTCAGTGCAGCTGGGGGCTGGCGGGAGCCGGCCAGGCTCTGAGGCTCTGAGATTGGATCAGCCATGGGCGGGGGCCAGGCCCGGGCAGGGAGAACGCTGAGCTCAAGCAGAGCCTCTGCCTCTGGCCCCTGCCCTGCCACAGCTCCGGGTCCCCATGCAAGACTCGAGGCTTGGGGCTGCAGTCTGCTGATGTGTCCTGAGGGTCAGTAATTCCATGGGGGTAAAGACATCCATGGTCAAAGACATACAAGGACCGCAGGGTTCGTACCTCACAGTGTGTTCACTGCCGGCGTCAGGGGAGTGTGTAAGTGCACCACGACTTCCTGCAAGAAGGGGACAGTGTGCGGCACTCCCCGCCAGAGCAGGATTCCACGGAACACAGTCGGGAACACTCGGGGACATGGGACGGCTGGCCCGCCAGTGGCTCCCATTGCATCTAAAGGAGGAGGTGATGACTTGGGTCCGTTCCCTTTGTGCGTGTCTGTGCCACTGCCTCCTGCCCCTCGGCCCTGGCCCCTGTTGCTGTGTCCCAGAGGTGACCCTCGCAGGAAGCAGGAAGTAGGCTGCTGGTAGCAATGCCCACTGTGATAGTCGCCAGCTGGACGGGTGCTCACCCTCCTCACAGGGCCGGGAAGACATCACCACTGTCCCTGACGCCTCCTCTTCCCACCCTGGCCTCGGGGGCTTCCGGGCCACCCCCCTGAGACTCTCAGGGTCTGGGACCTTGCTTGCTGGGAGCTAATGGCCATGTTCTCCTGTGTGACATTTCAGAGACAACGCCTCACACTTGCTGACCCCCGAGGATACTGAGGACTTGCCCATGGGGCAGGATGCCGAAATCTGCCTGCTGAAGTCCGGGGAGCTGATGTAAGTGGCAGGGATCCCAGAGAGGGACCCAGAGCTGGGCACCGCCCCACACTCTGACTTCAGTTTATGCTTTTTATTTTTAACGCATGATTTATACACGTTAAGATGCTCCTTTTACAGTGTGCAGCCCCTGAATTTTAACACGCGTGCGGCGTAGGCACTGCTACAGTCAGGGATCGAACGGTCCCGTCACTCCCCATTCCTGTAGTGACTTCCCGACTGCTCCTTCTCTTTTCAAAAATAACTGTTTAATTTTCTGACTGCAAGAGCAGCACGTTCGCGTTGTAGGAAATTAGGAACCTGGAGATGAGAAGCCGCTGTGGTCCGTAGCGTCCACCGCAGCTGCACACAGGCAGCCTGTAAGACGCCGGTTTACGCGGGAGCCGCGGCGTGAGGGGAGGCGCGCGCCGTGGTGAATGTGTGCATTTGCAGGACGGCTGGGCCTGGGGAATGTTTGAAGTCAAAAAGGGAGTCAAAAAAGTTCTTTTGAAATAGTTGTCCTGGGGGGCTGGGGATTTAGCTTAGCGGCAAAGCGCCTGCCTGGCAAGCGCAAGGTCGTGAGTTCGGTTCCCGGTACCAGAGAAAAACCAAAAAAAAAAAAAAAAAAATGAAATAGTTGTCCTGGCTGCAGGGGTCCATCACGGAGCCATCTGCCATGCAGACATCTTGTCCAGGTGTTTCTGGACAACTGTGGTTTTCATGGACCCTGTGGGTCGGGCAGAGTCTTTTGGGACAGTTATTATCAAGCCTAAGCCTGGGGTCCCCCTTCCATCACCTATCGGCTGTATTTCCTTTATTGTTATTTTTCTCATTAAGGATTGACAAAAGTGACTCCATTTTTATGGGGCCTGCCAGTCTCTCTTCAGTACACACACACAGGGGGCCCTTGACTGCGAACTCGGCTCACTCCCCAGGGCCAGCTGTAGCTCTGGCTGTCAGCCAAAGGCTCAGGCGCCTCCACACAGCTTCAAAGTCCTCTCCTTGTACAGGCAGAGCTCAGTGTCCTTGGAGAGACACTGGCCCAGGACTTCTCAATGAACCCCACGCAGGGAAGGATGTTGTGATGTCATTTACATTACAGCATCCTTCCAGAGCACTTTAAGGCTTAAATCTGTGTCTGAGACCATCTGGAAGCGCAAGCGGCTGGCATTCAGGTCATAATTCAAGACTTTGGTCGTAGGTTAAAACTCAAATGCTGGTCATAAAGCAAATCGTATGTCAGGCTGGTTGTAACTAGAGGGTCTGCTGTATTTATAGTTTCTTGATGTAAATACCCTAAATCCTCTTTTGGAACCTTGTCAGCTCACTGTAGCACAAGTATCTTCCCACAGCACTGATTTCTCCAGTGTTGGATCCCCAGCAGCACCATAGCTGTTCAACTCTTTAAGTGTCCTTTCCAGTGGTCTCTTCTTCCTGAACTCTGGGATTCATGATACAAAAGTCAGGCAGTTTGCTTATGTCTTGCAAGTCCTTAGGGACCCCGCCAACACACCCAGTTCTTTTCACTGTGCTGTTCAGGCTGAGTGAGCTCTGGTTTTCTCTTTTCAAGTTTAATTGTTTTATTTATTCTCGTTCGAGCCCATCCTGTAAGTTTTTATTTTATTTGGTTTGGTTTTGACTTGTCCGTCTGCAGTTTCAGGGATTGCACCCAAAGCCCTCATGCTGAGCTCCATTCCCAGCCCTTTTTGGTTTTTTGTTTTTTGGGTTTTTTTTTAAATTTTGAGACAGGGTCTTGCTAAGTTGCCCGGGCTGGGCTAAAACTTGCGATCCTCCTGCCTCAGTCTCCCAGAGTGTCGAGATTGTAAGTCTGCACCACCATGCTCAGTTTAGTTATATTTTTTTAGTATTTCTAGGTGTGATTTTTCTTTCTTTTTTACGTTTTCATTGTTTCAAGAATAGTTGAAGCCGTTATTGAGGCATTTCTATGACAGCTGCTTAAAATCTGATGTTATCAACGCTGGTGTCTGGTGTCTGCAGTTTCTTATGCTAGTTGTGATTTTCTGGTCCTCAGCATGACCCATAGGTGGGGCTCGGAGCTGCCAGGTGGTCGTTTCCTGGGATCCTGAGGGCCCTGGCGAGCCACCCTCTCTTCCCTGCCCTTCACATGTACTGCGATCTTCTGCTGACTCAGGTGCAGGTGCTGTAGTTGCACTGCGTGAGGAAAATCGAGAGCATGTTTAAAATGTTGATTATCGAACGTGCTGAAAATGTACCTGCAAATGAAGAGATAACAAAAAAGATGGATTCTGAGTAGAACACACAGAACAGGCAGACCCTTAAGGAGGGAGGGGTAAAGTCAGCGCGGAGAAGAGCTCACAACTGCCCTGTGAGTAAAATGCAGAGTGTACCTGTTCCTCGGAGTCGACATTTCCGCCTCTTTCAAAGAGGACAGCGAACGAAGGTTTGGCACCTGCAGTGCAGGAGAACCTGAAAACACGTTAAAGGTGGGGCTAGCTCAGAACGCGGGGAGTTGGTGGGTACGCTTGGCTCTTGTCAACTGGAATTTCTGGAGGCATGTAGTAGATTTTACCCCTGCAGTGTGAGTCTCTCCCTCTCCCTCTCTGTCTCTCTGTCTCTCTCTCTCTCTCCTTCTCTTCTATTACTGGGGATTGAACCCAGGACCTTCACACTGACCTACATCCCCAACCCTTTCTGTGTTTTTATATTTTTGTAATAGGGTCTTGCTCATTTGCCCAGGCTAGGCTCTAACTTGCCATCCTCCTGCCTCAGCTTCCCAGAGTGCTGAGATCACAGGCGTGTGCTGCCACACCTGGCTCAGTAGCGAGCTTCTCTTATTCATCATGATACTCAGGCAGAGCTGGCAGAGCCTTTCATTGGCATCTCCTCTGGAAAGCCCGAGATTATCCTGGCAGAGTGGGTGCTGGCACCCAGAGAAGCCCCAAGCCCCAGATTAGAGAGTACCCCAGCATTGGGGGCACCCATGGCTTTTTATGTGGCAGTTCAGACAGATGTCCACCTCTTTCCCAAAGCAGAACCCACTCTCCGGCCTGCTGTGATGCTTGAAAGTTGTGAATATGGGGTAAGAGCTTTTACTTAGAAAGAAGGGTCCACTGAGCCTTCCTTTCCATCCTCACTTGGGGGACAGGAAGGTGTTTTCCCCACAAAAGGCAACTAGGCGCAGTGGCAGGTGCGGGCTTTGGGTCAGACCTGTGTGGACGGGGCTGTGTTCTCCTTGTCCGAACCAGAGCTTCCTGGTGGGCCCGTTACTTCTGCAGGAGCCCCGCCCCACTTAGCGTGAGCTAGAGCAGGGGGCACGGAGCCCGCCCTCACCCCTGGTTATTCCACGCCTCTGGCAGCCCTGCGGGACACAGAGCGGGACCTTTGTGTGTCAGAAGAGGCGGAGGACCTCACTGGCACCAAGCTGGCCAGTGAACCCAGACCCATCCCCCGAGGTCAGGTCCCTCTGCATTTCTCCGCTAGGATCAAGTTACCCCTGACCGTGGACGAGATCGCCAGCTTCGGCGAGGGCACCAGGGAGCTGTTCGTGAGGTCCAGCACCTACAGCCTGATCCCCATCACCGTGGCCGAGGCGGGCCTCACCATCAGCTGGGTCTTCTCCTCCGACCCCAAAAGCATCTCGTTCAGCGTGGTCTTCCAGGAGGCAGAGGACACGCCCCTGGACCAGTGCAAGGTAGGCAGGCCCCCTGCCAGGCCCTGTTTCCCCATGCCAGGCGTGCTCCCTCCTGATGCCAGGGCGGGCAGAGTTTGTCCTTTGTGGGCAGAGAATGACCCGCGGCTCAGGACAGCTGTCTCCAAATGCCAGAGGTCACTGCTGTGCCAGGCAGATTGAGTCTGACCTTGAGAGAGGTCAAAGTGAAGCCGAGAGGGTTCCAGGCGCAGGGCTGGGATACGGATGACTTTTTCATGGAGCCACGCAGAGCCAGATGGGCCACCTCGGCAGGTGTGACCTCTGCCCTGGACGCAAAGGTGACAGCAAAGCAAGCGCAGAATCGCTGGGGTAGGGAGATGGAGCTCACAGTGCCGGATCCCAGCTCGTGTGACGTCTCAGGCTCAGCCGCGCCACCTGCCCACGCGTCGCTGAGCTGTGGGCCTGCCCTCCTGCTCGGTGGCTCACACAGCACATACTGGTGACCCTGAATCTTGGGGCCCCAGGGCCCCGCCTGGCCTCTGGCTTCTGGGTGCCCTCCCAGGAGATGAGCCCTGTCCTTCTTCACAGTGGACACCAGGGGGCAGAAGAAGCCCACATCCTGGGTGCTCGGATACCTTCTACCTTCACAGCTCCTCCTCAGCGGGGCATGGGGCAGCTGGTACCTCAGCCTGCCTCTGGGTACATGCGCCCAGCATCCCTCCCAAGGGACCCGTGGCCCCTGCTAGCCTGGGACTTGTGCGAGAAAGCAAGCTCCGAGCGATGACAGCTGAGCTCGGCTTCCACAGTGACAGAGGCACAAGCGCAGGAGCTGGGCGGGTCCTCGGATCGGCAGACACCAGTTACTGAGCGTCTGCCCAGGGGAATAGAGAGGTCGGGACCCAGGCAGCCAAGGTCACAGTGTCATCAGAGCCCCTAGAAGACTCGCACCGCTGATTCCAGGGCGCAGATGTCCGAGGGGGAGCCGTGCACTGCGGTGGCCCTGGCCGAGCGGCTGTCCCCACCTCAGGCCTGTGGCTGGGGAGGAGAGCCCTGGGCTGCCGGCGAAGGCCGCACTGGGAGAAGCCAGGAGCCGCAGTCGGGGGGTGCGATGTGGGCGGCACAGAGGAGGCGCAGTGCGTCCAGGAAGCGGGGCTGAAGAGACCCAGGAGAGACGGAAGACGCCCTGGAGTCATGGCAGCCGAGGCACAGGCTGGGCCCAGTGGACACAGCAGCGAGGGAAGCACGGAGCTCTGAGCATCTCCATCTTCACAAGGCAGGCAGCTCTCCAAGAAGCCAAGGATACATGTCAGCATCTCAGGAAAACGACAAAGCAAACCCAGCCTCAGCAGAAGGAAAGAGATAATAAAGTTCAGAGCAGAAACAAGTGAACTAGAGAATCAAAGAACAATAAAGAGGATCGGTGAAACACAGAGGGTTCTTTGAAGAGATAAACCAGATTACCTAAATAAACCAAAACAATCAGAGAAGACCCAAATAAATAAAATTAGACATTAAAAAGGAACATTACAACAGTTGCCCTGAAATCCATGCAATCATTAGTGATCACTTGTTCCAGGAAATTAGAAAACCTAGGAGAAACTTCCAGACATGAATGAGGACCAAAATTGAACCAAGAGGCTCCAGAAAACTTAAACAGCTGAATAAGAAGTAATGAGATTGACTCAGTAATAAAAAGTCTCCTAACAAAGAAAAGTCCAGAACCAGACAGATTCACCAATGAATTTGACCAGACTTTTAAAGAACGAACACCAGTGCTCCTCAAAGGGTTCGGTGAAGTAGAAAGAGAAAGTGCCCTTCCAAACTCACTCCACAAATCCAGGATCATTCTGCCACCAAACCCTGGGAAGGACACAAGAAAAACAAAGCGATGGACCAGTGTCCTTGGTGGACACAGCTGTGCACACCCTCAGTAAATCGAACTAGCAAATCGAATTCAGCAACACCTTGCGAAGACCACAAATCACAGTCCAGTTGGTTTTGTTCCGGGAATGCAAGGGTGGTTCCACATACACAAATCAATGAATTAGTGCAGCACTGAAAGAATCAGTGGTGGTGGTCAGGGGCAGTGGGGCCAGGTCAGGACCTGCAGGACACGGATGCCCACAGCGCCACAAGTGTCGCCAAACCCAGGTGAGTTCGTGACTCTTCAGCGGTGACCCGGAAAGAGCCCTCAGCCTCTGCACCATGGGGCCCCTGCCTCTGTGACCGTCCTGTCCTCCCTCCCCCCAGGTCCTCATCCCCACGACCCGGTGCCACTCCCACAAGGAGAGCATCCGGGGCCAGCTGAAGGTGCGCTCGCCTGGCATCTACATGCTCATCTTCGACAACACCTTCTCCAGGTAGGCGGCGGTGACCGCGCCCCCCCACCTCTCCGCCGCCCTCTTGCAGGCACAGAGGTGGACCCCAAAACCCTGCTCCACCACGGACAGTTCAGGGTGGTGGTGTTCTGGGGTTCGCTGTGAACTTCATAAGGCAGGGTGATGGTGCCGGGGTCCTACCCTGAGCCAGAGGGGGGCCTGGAAACACGAGAGGGCAGAGCGGATGGAGGAAGTAGGGGAGAGCACCGGACGGGAGGCTTGGGGTGGGGGCAGGACCCAGCCCAGAAGGTAGACTGGGCCCAGCATCTGGAGAAGCCAGCCTCTGACAGTGTGCTGCGGCTGCGACTGCAGCTCGGGGTGTCCAGTTTAGGGGTGCGGAGGGGAGACGGGAAGGAGGGAACGGAGAGGTGGCTGGAGGACGCCTCTCCCACCTCGCTGCTTGGAGAGACCTGAATGCTCTTCCCTGCCCTCCCCACCGAGGTGGCAGGACCTCAGCGCAGGGCACCCCCAGGAGCTGCTCTTGGAGCCCCAGCGGTGGGCAGGTGCTCGGCTCCCCCGGGAGGCCAGGTGGGGCGGTAGGTACACGTGGCATGGCGCTGGGGTGGCTCCTCCCTGCCCAGGCCCTGCCTGACGGCTGTGTGTCAGCAAGCAAGGCCCTGTGGCTGTGGAGAGGCTGCAGCCCGCCGGGGTCCTCTCTTGGGCTGACCGAGACGTTGGAATCTCGGTGGCAAGCCTCATTTAGATGCCCAGTGAGAAGGAAGCCCAGGCTTGTCTGTCTCCTGGCTGCTCGCAGGCGGCTCTGAGCACCAGGAGGCCCACAGCAGTGCCCCCAGGCCCGGCCTTCTGTGGGGACCCATGCTCCCCCTCAGGTCCCATCCCCCAGCATCTGGCACCCACACCTGCCGGGTCCACCGCGACCACAGCTGTCAGCCGCAGGCGACACCCTCCCTCCCACCTCTCTTTCCTCAGGTTCATCTCCAAGAAAGTGTTTTACCACTTGACGGTTGACCGGCCTGTGATCTACGACGGCAGTGACTTCCCGTAGTGCCAGGCACCTGAGCTCCACGGTGTCACCTTATCCACAGGAAACACTACACTTCCTCCCCTGTCACATGAAGCCCAAGAAAAAGAAAGAGAAGAGGAGAGGCAGAGCGCGGCCACCAGCCTGGCCTTGAGCCCGCAGCTCTGCCCTCAGCCCCCAAACATCCTCTCAGCCCCCGGCTCCTAAGCTCAGCAACATTTTCCCAGCAGTCCTCACACCCCGGGGGCGCCCGCCGGAGCTTCCACCTCTCCTGGAGCACAGCTGGTCCGAGCCAGGCTCAACCCAGCAACTCCCCGGTGACCTTGCTCCGGGTGCGCCAGGCCCACCCTGTGCGTCGCGGGACGGCCCAGACCGGGGCTGCTGCGGGTCCTCCCACCACCCCTGCCAGCCCCTCCTCCGGGCACTCGCTGTCGCTTAAGTGTGGGGCTGCACCGCACTCAGCGATTTGGAGGGGGCCGCTAAGCAACGCTGTCCTCACGGGGCTTTGCCCGGGTGGCTCTGTCCTTGGGCAAAGCCCTCGCTCAGTCAGGCCCCTCAGGTCAGCACAGCCCAAAACCCAGTGTGCCCGGGGCGTCTGGGGCCGGGGAGCTCGAGACCCGCGCAGCACCGTGAGTCACCCTGCTCTAGCCTGGCTGTTTACACACAGGAATGTCCGCCTCACCGAGACACCTGTGTTCCAGTGGGCAGAGCCAGGCGGGGCCACTTTCAAACGCTGAACAAGTCTTCGGTGACTTAGAAAGTAGAGTAGCAGAGGAAACAGGTCGTAACTTATTCTTGTCCCCACTCCCCCTGCCAGTGCCCAGCCCCATGTGCCCACTTCCTTCCCTGACGGGGTCCTTCCCTTTACCCCCACGAGGAGCTCCCACTTGCTGGCCTCTGTCCCGCGCGGCTGGCCACCTGCAGTCCCGCCGCAGTGCATCCACAGGTGTGCAGAGTGTGGGACACAGTGGCCCGCTGCGGCCTACTAGGCGCCCAGCCCGGTCACAGCGCCAGCAGAGAGGACCGCTGTGGGTCACACGTGAGAGGAGGACAGAAGAGCCGGGGCTCTCGTGCCCTGTCCTCGAGCTGCCTGTCCGCGGCGGCCAGGTGCCGTCATGCACTGTTGCGGGCACGGCTGCTCAGCATGGGGCAGAGAGCTTTCCAGTCTCCAGTGTCCTCCCTGCATGCCTCACGGCCTGAGGGGTCTCAGGAGCGGGCTGTCCCACCTTCAGACCCCCGCCTTCTTGCATAGGCCATCAGAAGCTAACAAAGGAGCCCCTGGCATAGCCCTGAATCTCCTGTCAGTGCTGGTTTCCCAGGATGCCTTGGGGCTCTGGCCAACCTGATGGCCCCTCGCTGGTCCCCCTGCCACCCAGCACAGCAGGAACCACCTTCCCAAGTAGCTGCTGTGGGTGGGGCCTAGAAGGGCCCGCCATCCCTCCGAGTTCCGTTCTGAACATCTGCCTCGTCACAGCAGGGACTGAGGTTCAGAGACCACGGGCTGTCTGAAGCCACCCAGAACCGCTCCTGGAGGACGGCCGGGCCCCGGTCACTTCCTGTGGGCCTCAGCCTGTCTATTTCTTGTGCTGAGTGGACTCTCGTACAATATTAGCTTGCTGCTCAGCTCCAGTTTGCAGTACACTCTGTAGCTAAAGAACATGTTGGCCCGTCGAAGGCTGACTTACACACATAGCTTTATTCTTACTCTTACAGTTCCCAGCTGTACTGAGGTTTAGAGCCTGGGGTCATTTTTTAAAATGCAAATGACGGTTGAATCACTGCTGATGGCCATAGCCCTGTGAGGCACAGCTATACCAGAAGTCACAGCAGCCGTCCCGGCCCCGGGTCACTACCCCTTCCAGCCTCACTTTCTGAAGCATGGCGACCTGCCTGACACAGGCATCCACCACCGAGGCCGCATGGTCCCCGCGGAGCACCCGGCCTGGGGACACGACTGCAGGGGGATACGGCGAAAGCAGACAGAGTCTACCACAGGAGTCTGAACTTCAGAACCCCATGGGCTTGGGAAGTAGCGAAGCAAAGCCTCGTCACATAACTCAGAGGTGAAGGAACGGTGTTTCTGAATGTTCAGCGGCTATCTGCAGCAGTGAGGCGCTCCAGCCCCGATGGAAGGAAATATTCCTGGAAGGGTGGGGTCTCATTCTGGTGGACACTCTCGGATAGGCTTCATAGGAGTTTCATTTTTAAAGTCTGCCTTGAATCCTTTAGACCGGAAAGCCATTCTTAGATCAGGCTTGGGAACTGGAGCAAAGAGAAGCCATCTGAGGTGCTCAGAACCAAGGAGCGCCTTGCCCTCTGAGACCACCGCGCACGTCTACACAGGTCAGGGCTCAGCGGGGCTCGGGTGAGCTGCTCTCCCGTCGTCGTGGTTCTGCCAAGGAAACAGGAGAGATGGGTTAATGACTCCCTTTTCCCTTACAAGCACTTTTTTTTAATAAAGTAGATCTCTAAATTTCAGGGAGCATCTTTGGTAGGCCAAAGCAAAGCAAAAAACATGGCTTCCTGAGAGCCTCGTGGTGCGCATTATCCAGAGACGCTGCCCCAGAGCTGCAGGGACACCAAGCCTGGGGCAGAGGCTCTGGAATCAAAATGCACTTTAATGCCCCTCCTGTCCGCGGCCTTAGGACGGCGGGTGTGGGCGCCCGCGTCACTCTTAGCTGCCAAAGAATCGCCCAGTGGCACATTGGACACCAGCAGCCGCCCCACAGTGGGGCCAAGACACTTGTACCCCAGAACATCTTCCTTTATAGCGTCTGCTAAGCCATTTGGAAATATTTTTAAACCTCAGGATTTAAATAAACACTATGGCATCGGGAGTAGCGTTGTCTGTCATTCTGTTGAAGGGACGCGTGGTAAGCTGAGGGACAGAGTCACCCGGACCTGCGCCAGGGGCAGAGCATCCTTTCCCCACGATGTGGCGCTGGCGGAGGACGAGGGCAGCGCTCCCGCCGCGACCTGCCCTGCTGTCCCTGATGCGGATGGAGGGACAGAAGTACTGCGGTTGCCCTGGCCTGGCTGGATGAGCTCAGCCGGGCTGTCCACTCTCGCCCCTCACCCCAGCGTGTGGCGGACATCGTGTGAGTGTGCCCCTGGCCCCCGAGAACACCGCCCAGCACCCCAGGCTTCCTTCCTCTTCTGGTCAGCCGCTCACATGGCTTCTCATACAGCCATACTTCCAGCAGTGCTGGTTGTCTCTCCTGGGCAGGGGCTGGTCTCGTTCTCCCTCCCCTCCTCCCCACCGCAGTGGCCCCACCATGGAGCAGTGTGCCAGGCGCTGGAGCAGGGAGGGCTCACAGGCTGACTCTGCCAGGTGCAGAGCTCCTGGAGGCCGGGGTGCGGGGGGCAGGCAGAGGGACGGACAGGGACGGAGTGGGCCACCTAGGCCCAAGGAGTGCACTCCGGCGGGGCTGGGATGGGGGCCTCCACATGAACCCCGGTTCGTTTCACCCCGTCCCTAAACGGCTGAGAGACCCCAGGGGACCGGGGTTCCTGCCAGAGGGTTTCCAAGCCCACATCCGAGTCCCTCCAGGACAGGCCACATCAGTCCCCAGCTGTTGAGGACCCAGCGCCCCCCAGGTGACAGAGGGCGCTTGCTGCAGGGTCAGCCCTTTCGGTTTGAAGATTCATGGGAAAAGTCTCTCGCTGCCCACACACGTCTGAAAGGCAAATTGATGAAACCTGTGACCCCAAATGAGAAAAGTGGCTCTTTCTTGAGACCACAGTTAAAGCTGAAGCTGTCAAAAGCTGGGGCGGGAGCACTGTGCGACCGAAAGGCTTTCGGAGCGGGTTAGGTTGAGGGGAAGGGCAGCCTTTGACTCCGCACACCGCGGGCTTCTGACGCAGCGCGCTTGTGACCTCAGGTGTTTGCTGTGGCCCCTCGCCCCCTGCCTCAGGCTGTGGGAGGACAGGCTGCTGGCCGGGTCTTCACACCTCAGGCACATCTGCACTCTGTGACCGCGGAGTGAGCCTGAAGCCTGAAGCCCCTCAGCTCTCCAAGGCACGCGGGGGGCTGGGGCGCACGTGTCCTCCCCCGAGGAAGGCCCTGTTTGTAGACCAGCCAGCTTCTGGCCTGAGCCTAGAGTCAGAGATTGGGTTTCCTCCAGGGTCTCTTGGAGCCCTGCTCCCAGGGCAGATGCAGGAGAGGAAGCCATTCCCCTGAGGCCTGGACACCCACCTTCCGGTCAGCAGGGCAGTGCTAGCTCCTCCCCTGCGTGAGAAAGGACAGAGGCGGCAGCAGCCTCAGCCTCGCAGGCTTTTGCCCATGAGTGAGGTATATGTGCACCAAAGGTCTTCAGAACAGCAGCTCGTCCACACGCGTGGGGTCCCCCCAGAACTGCTGGGTGTTCTCAGAAAGGGCTCACACACAGCCCTAGGGAGCCCCATGGAAGGGTCACAGGGAAGTCAGCAATCCTGGGTGGGGTCTGTGGTTATCAAACATCTAGACACAGAGCCTCCGGGGAGCGCCCAAGACCCACCCAGGGCTCCTTGTGCTCCAGGGTCCCCTCGTTTGGTGTCAGGGGACACTGAGCAAGGTCGCCTGGTGGCCTGAAAGCATTCAGGTCCGTGCGCATCACCCTCGTCAGCGCCAGCTCCTCAGGTCTGGGCATTCACCATGGGCGCGGTGGTCAGGGACCCCACGAAGGTCCTTGGGAGCATGGCTGCGTCTCCACGGGCTTGGCTAGAGCATGAGGACGGGTGGGTCTGCCTCCTCATTTACAAGGGGCCTTGAGTGACAGGACAGGGACTCCCCTACTCCACTGGCATGGAGATGCAGCGGTGGAAACTGCTGTCCTGGAGGACATTTCCAAATTAATTCCCTGCCACGAAACTATTCTGCGGGTTCAACGCTTTTACAGACACAACTGTGATGCTTAGGTTGTTATTCCAGGGCCTGTGGAGAACTGGTAGAGCCCTCAATGGAAACATAATTCCTTCCTTTAAATCTTTACCCAGGGCAGCTATTAGAATAAATGAATTCATTTAAAGTTACTGAATACAAAATGAACGTATAAAAAATCAGTAGCATTTCTGGATGCCAACAGTGAACTATCTGAAAGAGAAATCAAGAAAGCCACCCCATTGATGATAGCTATTCTTAAAGCCTAGGAAAAAATTTAACCAAAGAAATGAAAGATATCACAATGAAAATTATTTTTAAAAAATCGATGAAAGAAATTGAAGAGCACATGAATAAATGGAAAGATACAGCACCACATATTCATAGGTTGGAACTGCTATTGTTGAAGCACCCAATACAATCTACCCAAAGTGTTGGCGCAGTTCTTATCCATACCAATGGCTTCCTTCACAGAAATACAGAAAAGTGATCCTAACACTTACGTGCAACTACAAAAGACATCCAAAGCAATTGGGAGAAATTGGGAGAAAACAGAACAGGGCTTAGAAGCATCACACTATCTGACTTCAAAATATACTATAAGCAGGGCACAGTGACACACTCCTGTAGTCCCAGCTACTTGGGAGGCTGAGGCAGGAGGATCCCCTGAGTCCAGGAGTTTGGGAATAACTTAGGTAACATGAGTTAAATTCCCTCGCTTAACAAAACACACACACACACACACACACACCACAAACCACAAAGCAATAATAATCAAAACAGCATGGTACTGGCATAAAAATAGATACAATAACAGAATCATGAACCCAGAAATAGATCAGTGCCCACTGTTCTTTGACAAAGGCACCAAGAAAAAGACAGTCTCCTCCTTAAGTGGTGCTGGGAAAACTGGATATCCAGATGTGGAAGAATGAAAGCAGACCCTCGTCTCTCACTATGTACAAATAGCAGGCTGCAATGGGTTAAGCAGAAGACACCATTCACGTCCCCCCGCGCTCACCAAAGGGGTCACCTTCTTAGCAAGCTCCCCAGCGCAAGGCCGTGAAGGGAGGCCAAAGAGCGAGCCATGGTCTGTCCCCTTCTCAGGGCCCCATGTAGGCCCACCTTGTCCTGCAGCTCTGGGTCTGTGTAGAGGGAGATGCGTCCATGTTCCTCGGTGTGACCTCCCCCGGGACCGCGTGCCAAGCTCCAGGCTAGGAGAGATGTACCAAGAACCCAGCAGGTCAGGCTCCAGGATCAGAAAGTCAGGCACCCATCTCCTGCTGCCACTGGATTACTTGGCTTACACAGTGCAGTGGTTTTCAAGTATGGCCCAAGTCAGCTGATCGCCTCCCCTACGAGGTGGAGCCCACAGCCCCCGCCTTCCACTCTCGGCTGGCTCGTGACTACCCTGAACAGTGAAAGAGAGGAGAAGTGACTCTGTGTGGCTTCAGGAACTGTGTCAGAAAAGGACATGCAACTTCCCCTCCTCCTCCTGGGGTACTTAGTCCAGGGCTGCCAGCTGCCAAGTGCTGTGTGCTGGGCCTGGCCGCAGACCACAGGCCAGCCACAGAGTCTACCCTCCACCAAGCCCGCCCGTGACCACAGCCCGGCTGGCATCTGACTGCAGCTCCATGAGAAACCCAAGCTCGAAATGCTCAGCTGAGCCCCTTCTAGCTTCCCGACCCTCGAAATCGCCGGTGAACTGACGTCACGATTGTTTTACGGCACCAAGTTGTGCAGCGAAGGTAACGGACCCAGCAGACTGGAGAATATGCATATCTTAGAACCTCTTTTTGCATTTAATTGTGAATAAGAGTCTAGATGAGAACATTTCACAAAGCTGTGTTTTGTTTTATCGAGTTCTCCCCGGACTTCATGCAAGCAAGCCTGATGCACGCTCCGACCACACGTTCTCTCTCCACCTTCCCGTCCCCGGGCCTCCGGCCAGCCGTGCAGGCCTCAACTGTGCCTCTGAGTCCTCTCCCGGCAGGTCACAATCGGCCACCATGCCCGCCTGATCTCAGCACATCCCGCTGTGTGGCCACCGTCACAAAGACACCCGAGCTGCCTGCCCACCCGCCAGTGGGGAACCGTGGAAGCAGCACGTGTTTCCCGATCCCTTTGTGCACCGGCAAGTCTGACCGAGAGCTGCCTACCTCGGGGTTCAGGAGTTAGTGATGACCTAGTCTTGGGGCTGTCAGAAGAGCAAGGGACAGAAGAGGCAGGGGACAGACAAGTGGGGTGAGGCAGGACCCAGCATCAGGGACTCCATGTCCCGAAGAGTGCCTACGCCCAGGCGCAGGGTCCCTGCACTGTACACACACACACACACATGCACACACATGCACACACATGCACACAGACACACATGCACACAGACATACACACCCAACATGTACACACATGCACACAGACACATGTGCACAGAGACACACACATGCACACATTCACACATACACACACACCCAACACACACATGGACACAGATATACACCCCCAACACAGGTGCACACAGATGCACACACCCAACACACACACATTCACATAGACACATGTGCACATAGACACATACACACACACCCAACATACCTAACACACACATATACATGCACACAGACACATGCACAGAGACACATACACACACGTGCACACAGACACATGCATGTGCACACACACACACCTCCAGCTGAGGGCCTGGCTCCTTCGCCAGGGAATTGCAGCTCCATAGCTGTGCACATCTGGGGAACAGCTGGGGGAGGGCAGGTGGGAAGCTGCTATTCTGCACGAACGCTGGCGTCATCCTTGGCCAGTCACCTTGGAAAGGTGCACCTTGGAAAGAGGGCGTCGCCAGGGCCTTCACCTTCACATCACAGCTTAGGTCACGCTGGCCAAGCCTGAGCCTGTGTCCCCGGCCCTCGGTCCTCAGCACAGAGTGGGGCCCGGAAGGACTGGCTGTGGGCAGGGCAGCAGCCCCTGGAGGAGCGGGAGGCTGAGGGCACGAGCTGACCACGCTCCACGCAGCCTTTGTTCGTGCATCTCCACAGGACCATGGAGACCGTGTTTTTGCTTAGCCTGCGGTGTCAAAACTGATTATGTGCAAGCAGGCATGTCGCGAGTGGAAAGGGCCTCACAGCTTCCAGAGCCGCTTGCTGGAGGGACACGTTCGCCTGTCATTTGAAGGCTTTGATAGCAGAACTGAAAGAAAGACGTTGGAGGGCCATTCGTTGCCTGAGTTGAGTGCACCAGTGGTGTAGAAATGAGTAGCGAGGCACCTCCCTGACCTGACTGGACAAGGTCGGCACCCGAACAGGGAGGCCCTCGTGGCCTAGTGGAGAGCGTATTCTAAGGCCGGGGTGTTGCTTAGCCACGCACACTAAACTAGTGACAACAAAATGAGGAGAAAGATCTGCTTTGAGCATCCAGCCTGTGGGATAGTGCTGGAGGTGCAGCTGTCGGAGGCGCAGGGCTTCCTCTTCTCCCACAGTCCTTCAGAGCCCTTGCGCAGACCTCCCTTGGCAGCAGGCCGCCCAGAGTGTAAGAGGACAGGAGCCCACCCTCGCTGAGGGACAGCAACCCTTGTGCTCCTGAGCTGGGATGGGGCCGGCGTGCGGGGTTGGGCTCTGGGCTGGGCCCCTGGGAGGCTCTGATTCTTACGAGACCAGCTCAGCACAGAAAGCCAAGTGAACCAGCAGGGACGCTACAAACACAAGCTGCTCGCCTGCACGCTTTACCGAAGCAGAGCCGGCGGAGGCGTCCGGGGCGGCCCATTACGACGCCTCAGGCATCCATGGCAGCTGTGTCTTTGAGTCAACACTGTCACAGAAGTGCCACCACGCTCTACCACGTCGCCAGGCGGGGACCCCCAAGCTTGAGGAGACCAAGGTGGCAAGAGCACGCATGCGCTCCGGGCTGCTCCTAACCCAGCTGTGGGAAACAAGAGGTCCTGACCACACAGCACCCCGCGTGACTCACAGGCTACCAGGAAGCTGGACAGGGCACTGATTCCAGCCCTGTCCCCGCCAGCATCAGAGGCGCTTAGCAGACAATGCCAAACTCAAGTGTGTCCCCCCGTGTCCCGACTACACAGTCTCCTCCGGCCGCTCCTACTTCATTCTCCCTGGGACTTCTCTTGGAAAGACAGTCGCATGGGTGGTCACAAGGATTCCTCCCTCTGACGGCCGAGGTGGTGCTGCTGTACTGGGCCTCCTGGTGTGCTGGTCCTGGGCCTGCCCTGTCCTCCCGGCGGCAGGGTGAGTGAGCCCCTTGTGCTGCTCCTTGGCCCTCCCCCTCCTGTCCTGTGCTTTAGACGTGGGCGGGGAGAAGAGGCTAATCCAGCAGGGCCTGGGGCTTGTGCGTCCCCTCTGGGAAGGACAGTGTCAGGACTGAGACCCCCGAAACCCAACGCACCCTGGGGAACCAGGCCCTTCCGCCGAGGAGAATGAGCAGGCCAGGGTGCTGTGCACAGTGCTCCAGCTGTCCAGCCCGAAATCCCATTTGGCTCACTGGGGACAACTTGGGAAGCAAATTTGTCAAGAGAAAAAGATTGTTTTAAAAACTGTTGAGCCGAGCCAGTTTCATTGGAGATTTTATTTCTCTTCCTCTTCCCATTCATTGTCTATTTGATCCCTTAGTTACACCCACTTAAAATACTAAGAAAATAAAGAGCAAGTAATCAATATTTTAAATACACATTAAAAAGCACTTCTCCAATGTTTTCAAATGTGATAAATCTGCCAAACAGTGAAAGACACAAAGCAAAAATGATTTATAGTACATATTTTTTCAGCCTAGTTTCTAGGGTGAAAAGCTAACAAAACGCAAGCACTAGAGAGGAAGAAACGGGGAAGAAGCACTGGGCCATGGAAGAGAACAACAGTGCCAACCCACCCTCCAGGGAGCAGGCGAAGGTCTGGCCCCAGGGCCACGCAGCCACGCCAGGGCTGTGCCCGGTAACGCGGAGCACCGCGGTGCTTGCTCAGGCTGTTCAGACCACAGCACGATGCCGGCGGACAAGCTGAACCTTCACCCCGGTCAGCCCTGTGGCCAGGCTTGGCGCCCCAGGCCTCCCGAACAATGCGGAAATGGGTTGGAGCTAAAAGCCTGTGGTGACTTGTTGGTGTGGTCGGTTGTCCAGGGGCTCCCTGAGCGGTCCTGCACTCGGTTTCAGAAGAGGAATAAGGTCCCTCATCACCGGCCTAGAGGGGGCCAAGGGCAGCAGAGGAAACGGACCTGAGGCTGTTTGGAAAGGCTCTAGGGAGAGGATCTGTAAGACCCACATGGGGACCCCAGAGGGTAACGTCCCGGAGACAGACACGTGCGGGAACGCACTGCTGGGTGGCTGTGGAGAGGCCGGTGCTCATCTGCTCCTTCCAGGAGAAGCAGCACCCGCTCTGAGGCCAGGACGATTCACAGAGTGCCTCGAACCCAGAGGCTGCTCCCGGCCGGCGGCATCAATGCGTGCGCCCAGGTGGGCCTCGCCGCTGCTCGTCCGTCTGCAGAAGCGCGGCCACTAGCCCGTCGGCGGCCTCTGCGGCAGTCAATTTCGAAAACTCCAGTTTGGCAAATTAAGACTGAACGTGATAATGCTCTTCCGATCATCCCTTTCTCCATGTCTCCCCTCATTTCCTTTCTAAGCTTCGGTCTCCTCTGGTCCCCTCAGTGGGGAAATGGGGGCTGCCTGTCCCATTACTTCCAGAAGGATGGACCGTGTGCCTCGGAGCGGACACCTTTACAGGGACAGCGCGCCTGACGTTGTCTCCAGCAACATGGATGACAGCTTCAGGCTTCCCTGTCGCCTTGTGTAGGAAACCCACTGGGCCTGGCTGATGCACCCCAAGTTCTTCAGGGTTTTCACAAGATCCCGGCGGAACCGCTCACCCACAAACACATAGAGAACGGGGTTCAGGCAGCTGTGGAAGAAGGCGAGGGTCTGCGTGACGTGGAGACAGAGGTCAATGTTGGTGGAAATGGCGCAGCTAGAGAGGAACGCAGTGTAAGCGTCTATGGTGCGCACCAGCAGGACACAGCTGTAGGGGAACTGAGACAAGACAAAGACGCTGAGGACAGCGGTGGTCACCCTGAGGGCCTTGTGCTTGGACGACCTCTTGGCCTGCTTCAGGGTGTGAATGATGATGGTGTAGCAGAAAGCCATGACCACGAAGGGCAGGAAGAACCCCAGGATGACCTTCAGCGTCAAGACAGCCGACTTAGCTTTGGTGCTGTCATCCCTCGGGTACACCATGGTGCAGGCCGAGACGCCAGATTCCCTCTTGACTTGGCTGAACAGGATTTCCGGGGTGCAGAGCGCCACGGCCATCACCCAGATGGTGCAGCAAACCATTTTGCTGTACACGAGGCGTTTCCGCCTCCAGATCTGCGCCTTCATGGCCTGGGCGATGGCGATGTACCGGTCCACGCTGATGCACATGAGCAGCAGCACGCAGCTGTAGAAGTTCATCCAGAACAGCCCGTTGACCACCTTGCATGCCAGGGTCTGGAACTTCCACTGGTCCGCGGCGGCGATGGCCCAGAAGGGGAGGGTGCCCAGGAAGAGGAGGTCAGCAATTGCCAGGTTCAGAAGGAACATGTCGGTCATGGTCTTCACTCTCGTGCAGTACCAGTAGACAAGGACGACCAGGCTGTTGCCCACCGTGCCCACGATGAATACGAGCCAGTACAAGGGTGGCAGGAATTGACTGGCAAACTGCCTGACACTGGACTTATTGCAGAAGACTTCCGGGAAGTTGAAGGTCACGTCGTCATCCCCAGAAGCTGTGGCATCGTAGCTGTAGTCACCAGACATATTCGGAATAAGGTTCTGCAGGGGACACAGGATGGCACTCAGTCAAGGACAGTCTTTTGGGGGTCTTATCTGACTGACCCTCCCAACCCCAACAATCTGTGACAAGGCAAAAGACATGTGTGTGGGAAATAGGGGTCCTGAGGACATCTTCCTGGCTGTGCTATGGTTTGGACGTGATCCGGGAGTGTCAGCCAAGGCCTCCAGCCCCAGAACAGTGGTCCCCTGGGTGGCAGTGCTGGGACAGTAGAACCTTCCAGAGTGGGGACCGGTTAGGTCAGAACATCTCCCTCAGAAGGGGCTGGTGCCGTTCTCTTGGGACCCCGGGTTGTCACACAAAGAAAAAGAGCCTCACCCGGGTCTTCCCTGCATCCTGTCTTCCTGTGACTGCATGGCCCCCTCCCACGTGCTCCCACCATGGTGTCCCTGCAGTGCCGTGATATATCCAGAAGGCAGCCCCAGAGGCCCGAGCCAGTGGCATTGTCCAATCTTAGACATTTAGCCTCCAAAACTGAGCCAAATGAACCTCTTCTCTTTATGCATTATCTAGCATCTGGCATTTGTTATAGCAACAAAAAACAGAGCAATACAGTTTGTGAATAAACACACACACACACACACATTTATGCATTATCTAGCATCTGGCATTTGTTATAGCAACAAAAAACAGAGCAATACAGTTTGTGAATAAATATTCCACAAACTTTTACGGAGCACCCACTGCAGGGTGGTTACTAGGCTGGGTACCAGGATAAAGTGGTAAATAAGTCGGACACATTTCCCACTCTCACGGGACTTAGCTCATTCACCAAAGAGCTGGTTGTTGTTGTCGTCGTCGTTGTTCTTGTTTCATTTTATTTGGAGACAAGGTCTCGCTATGTAGTTTAGGCTGGCCTTGAACTCACAGCAATCCTCCTGCCTCAGCCTGTCAAGTTCTAGGATTACAGGTATGCTCCGTGACACCCATCTCCCCCACTTTCCATAGGTCCCTGGCCTAGAGCCACCCTAGAACCCCTGCTAGGGGCAAAGGAAACAAGGGTTGGAGGTGAGGGCCTGAGCCCTGCATCCCTGGATCAACCCCGGGGTAAGGGAGTGGAGGAAGCAGGCTGGTGGGCAGAGGGGGGGAGATGCACAGACATACTCAGGGGAAGCCGGGCCACTCCAGCTGCACTGTCCCCAAATGCTCTCCTGTGGCCTTGGTTCCCAACCCCTTGGGGACAACCAGCTCCCACACTCTTGCCTGGGGGACAGCGTGCCCTGCCAAACTGCCTCTCTGCATTTATTTCCCCTCAGGCAAGTGCGATCATTGTTTGGCTGTGTTAGGGCTCAAAGTCACCCCAGAGCCACAGAGACTTTTCTATTTTGTTCTGAATAGCTAATAAGTATTCAGGTACAAGTATTTAGTTTATGCACTTAAATAATAATCTCAAAATAAAATATTCTCTGCCTGCCATTAGCAGGGCTCTGTCTACATAGCTTATAATTTCCCTCTGCTTCTGATAGATGCGACCAGCTGTTCCGAAGCCACGTTTTAGGTGGAACGCTAGTGTTACACAGTGGAGAATCTGTATAGCACGTTACGTGAACTTTGAAGCTTGCAATTCTCCCATGTGCCCTGAAGCCTCTAAAGAAGTCCTACCAAATCGGTTTTACAGAATTTCAGTTGTGCATAGCACAGCAAAGTTGTGAAGAATCCTTCAGAAGGTGTTGCATCCTGAGTAACGTTTTCTTAACCTCAACCTGTGTGTGCACATATGTGTGCGTGCATGTGCATGCTCATTAGTGATCAGGGCACAATGAGCAGGCCGACTGTTACGGTTTGTGTCTACATGTTCCCCTAAATCCTCAAGCAGTCATGGGGTGGGCTTTTAAATATTTTATTGATCTATAGTCCAATGCTGGGATTATGGGTGTGAGTGCTACACCTGCCCTGAGGTGGATAGTTTGCATATGGAAGGGAGAGGAAGAGGCTGCTTGCTGCCACTCCTCCCTTTTGCTCTTGTTGCTTTTGCTGTTTTCTGCCACCATGAACGGTTGCCCTCTGCCATGTGGCACTCTGCCTTGGAGCCAGCCAAGTATGGATTGAAACCTCCACAGACTGTGAGCTAAATAAACCTTTCCTTCCTTAATTTTGAGCATCAGGTATTTTGTCTCAGCAACAAGAAAAAAAGTAACCAAGACACCGACCCTAGGCAGTAGGTGGTAGGGGGCTGCTGTCTCCTGAATTCTGAAGCTGGCACCCAAAGCCCATCCTATGTGGGTCCTGGCTGGCAGGAAGTAGCAGGAGAACCCAAGCACCAAGGAAACTGGGCCACACCTGGGAAAACTGGACATTTAGTTGTGGCTCTACCTCCAGTGTGTGAACAAGAGGAAGTCCTACTGCAGAGAGGGATGGGGAGGGGGGGGCTCTGGGGACCATTGTTCAGGACAGGACAGCTGGGAATGGCCCGGGACTTCGAGAAGCTGGGGAAATCCCCTCCCTGTCTTGTAGATGCTGATTCATTCATCCCCCATTCACTCTTGGCCTTTCACAGTAACCTGGACCACTCTATGAAGGCCCAGTGTCCTGGGAGGAAGACCTCACAGGTGACACGTATTTCAGGAAGGTGACACATATCAGGAAAGAGGCCAGGAGAGGCCTACTGTGCTGCACGCTGGAGCGGGCATCGCCAGGCCACTGGGCAGCCAGCTCAGGGCAGTGCGCTTTGGGAGAGCTTGGAGCCAAAGGAAGGACTTCGGAGACAGAAGAGAGACTCCCATGCTGGCGTGCTGTCAGTACAGCCCTCTCTTCTCCATCACCATCTCCGAGTGCCTGCTTCCTGAGTGGTAGCAGAGTTAAGCGTTTTCTCCTTGACAGTTCTCTACCTAAGGATTTGACTCAGCAGGTTTTGCCCAGCTCTTGATCTCTCAGAGGAACACAGGCCGCCGCCTGCTTTGGGAAGCACTTCATGGTGTGACAACGTGCCAGCCGCGGGCACCACCCTCCCCTCCGCACTTGAATTCCCCCCAAGTCTCTTCTGTCTGAGTTTCAGAACAGACCCGTGGAACTAAGCCCACCCTAGTTAAAAATCATTAAAAACCCTCGCTACTATTAATATCTAAAATTATGCTGTCCTCCTCACAGCGTCCCCCAACCCCTGTCCTCTGGTTTGCAAAGCCCTCTGTGCCGGCATCAGGTGTGGCTCTGCGAACCACAGAGACCCCTCCCCCCCACGGGCCCCTTCCCAGGCCCCCAGTGGGTACGGGGCAGAGGGCGTACTTCGGGCACCCAAGGGCGCGCTGTACTCACTGCGAACTCTGTGGATGTCATGGCCGGTCAGGTACAGTCCTGCTTCTAGAAAGAGAGCAAAAATCAAAGAGAGCACTGGCTTGTAAATGCACAACAGCAACCACAAAATAGAGATGGGGTATTAAACTTCTTTATGCTAATGGGGCCACATGGCTCGCAACAGCCGCTGGCTGCGGCTCACTCAAACAGTCCCCTCTCTCAGATCAGCATTTCATCTGTTTCCAACTTCTTTTCATAATTACTGAAAATTCCCAGGTAAATGGGCGTTGCGCTTACTTCAGAAAAGTTGTACCCTGCCCCTTTCTTCCTACGCACTAGAACCCTGGGCTCTGTCCACATCATGTTTCAGAATCACTCCGGGGTTTTCAGAGTTTGGGGTGCTAAACATCTGCCCGCATGGCTCAGGTCACCACCGAGAAGTCCCAAAAACCTCTGTCTTGTGATAGAAAACTCAACCAGCAAGCAGAAAAACAGCACATTGAGACCAAGAATTACTTTTTTTTCTAAAGGTAAAAACACTCAGCTGAATTCAGCAGACCTCAAGTCAGCAAACCTAATTTCATTACAGTTCAGGGAGACTAGTTTTTGAGACACGAGTTGGAAAACACATGAGGAGGTAAAACATCAATCAGATGACACCTGAGAAAATTTTCCAAGGTAAGAAGAAAGGCTTTAGCGAGTTTGAGGCTGGGGACATCCACAACGCCCTGACGTGTGCGGATGGACCGCACCTCGTTGGAGGGCAAAGCCACCTGGCGACACTGGCAAAGCTCAACACCTCTGACTCAGCGATCGCCCTCTGGGAATCTGTTCGGTTCTCATAAAAGAGCATAAAGATACATGCATGTCAGTGAATGTTTTCTTGCAGAGCAAGAAGGAAATGGAAATAACCAGCACTTGGTACATCCATTCAGTAAACCACACCTGGCCAATGAAAAGAGGAAGACGGAACTGAGGTGGATGGAAAGGAGGTCACCAGAATTACTAGATTAAAATGCAAGGCATGGGAGACTCGAATATGAAAGAATACACACTTTGCTGCTAGTTACTACAGAAGTTTCTCTGGAAGGAGCCGGAAACCTAGTGACAGGTGGAAAAGGAAACTTTCATCTTTCCTTTAGACTTGACAAACTGCTTAAATACTTCACTGAGGGTAAGATTTTATTTTAAGAGCTATCATAAAACTAACTTGCCAGGTGAAGAAGGAGGAGGAGAAAGAGAAGGAGGAGGAGAAGGAGGAGGAGGAGGAGAAGGAGAAGGAGAAGGAG